TCGCTTTTTTTAGTTCCTTCATTCGTAGTATTAAGCTCTGTCGCGGCATCCTAAACTCTAGCATTATTATTCTCGGCTATCTGAATATCTCCGTTACTATCGGTCGTATCGATAGAGGTAGCGACTATAGGTCTAAATGCTATTAGTTAACGTGTTAAAGAAAAATATGCCGGCTATAGCTGCCGGCTACGGCTGCCGGCTACGGCTGCCGGCTACAGCTGCTAGCTACGGCCGCTAGCTAGATTGACTTACGCTACTAGAACTTCACGCTCGAAAACTGGCCGCAATTCTTTCCTCCTCTTAGCCTTCTCTTAGGTTGTCTTCTTATTCTAACCTTCACTTTTTTCTATAGGCGCTAGCTATCGATAGAATGCCTTATTCCGCGCCTTTCTTCTCTTATCCTTAGCTCTTTTATCCTTATCTATCTTATCCTTTCTCTCGCGGTCTCGTACGGAATTCTTCTTCGTAGAGTACTCCTCTTTAGTCTTACGCTTTTTAGTTAGACGCTTAGGCAAAACAAACTCGCGGTCTTTAGTTCTATCTTCTGTTTAGCGCGCGGCGCGCTTCTCTCTTGCTATTGTAAGGGAAAGGGGCGGGGGCGCAGCGTATAGTAGTTATTGTCGGTATAGGTATAGAGGAAGAAGTTGAAAGTATAAGAATATCGCGAAGCCCTAATTGTTGCTGCCTACGTAACGTTATATAGGTAAGCTTTCGCAACTACGGCAACTACGCCCCGGCAACAGCAACTACGCCCTAGCAACGGTAACTACGCCCTAGCAACGGCAACTACGCCCTAGCAACGGTAATAAAGCGTAGTAAATACAACCTAGTAACTATTATAGCCGGCAATCGTAGCCGGCAGTCGAATAAGAGTGTCCTTATAGCAAAACTACGCCCTAGCAACGGCAACTACGCCCTAGCAACGGCAAAAGAGCGTAGTAAATGTAACAGAGTTACTATTATAGCCGGCAATCGTGGCCGGCAGTCGAATAAGAGTGTCCTTATAGTAAAACCAATACAGTCTCTAGTTTAAACTAGGAATCTATATAGTTCGAAAAAACCAAACCGGAACTAGGGAGCTGGTTCGCCGCTAAGAAACCAAACTATATACGTTTAGTGGTTCGGAAACCGAACTACTGCGGGGTCTAATTTCTAGCGCTAATTCTAGTGCTATTTCTAGCGCCAATTCTAGCGCCATTTTACCGCTAGCTCTCGTAGAAGCAGCTCAACTAGGTAGAGTTAGCGGCGACGGCTTAGTAATCCTATCGGCGAGCTACCTAGTAACTAGCCTATAAGACGGAGACTAGCTTCTAATAGCGTACGATTCCTACGTAGCTTACGGCTACCTCTCTCCTTAGTAGTACGAGTAACTATACTTAATAACTACTCGGCTCTCTTAGCTCGCTCCGATTCAACTTAATTAATCTAGCGCGCTCTATATCGAGGTACCTAGCTTGTTACTAGGCTTATAGAGGCAGGACGCTTATTACGCGGATCGTCTAGACTACGAGTAGTGCTAGTAGCAACGGCAGAAGCGGGTAGAAATGCGGAGGCTAGATTGCCTAGAAGTACTACCCTTAGCTTAACTATACGACTAGGTAGGCGAGGGCCGGCACTAGGACCGGAAGTAGCAGCAGTCGCTCTCTCGATCTAATTTATACGAAGACCTATTCTCGCTGCTTCGCTACGTAAGGACTCTATAATACCGGCCTAGACGGCATTTCGCGCGGCGTTCTATATAGCAAGGCGCTACGCTAGAGATACTATCGGAGGATTTAGCAATAATCGGCCGGCCGCGGATTGAGAACTAGATGTTAGTCTAGTAGCGGTAGAAGCAGTAGCAGCGATAGCTTATTGTTTGTCTGCGCGCTTCTTAGCTTTCGCGTTAAGACTAGCCTTCTACTTAGTAAAGACACTCGTACTAATCCGCTTAATCTTATTAATTAGCTTATATAACGCAAATAGGCGCTAGTCGATATTTAGAGCTTTAAACTAGTCGATAAACTCTACCGATTTCTACTTAAGTAGCCGCTAATTAACGACTATATTCTCCTATTGCTCGAACTAGCTAGTAGCAGTAAATACATTATATATACTCTAGAGTCTTCGGTCTTCTAGAATGGTCTTTAACGGGAGGTTAAACATATAACGATAAGTCTATTCCGGGTACTTATTATTCTTAGAAGACAACTACGCCTATAGCTTCTAGAAGGCAATAGCCGGACGTGTCCTATTTCCTAGCTTGCGGAAGATCGGACCTATAGCTTCTACTAGTAGCCTACTATTATAAAGGAGATCTAGGTTAGGGTTATAGGCATTATAGTAGTGCTCGCTCGATAGTAGGTCTTATAGATACATTACCTTATCCTCGCTAAGGTACTAGAGGATTACCTTGCGAGGGTAGATACTATAGTCTCGATATCGATCGTTCTAGAAATGCATCTAGATCTTTAGAATCTTCTCGCGGGCAGCTATCTCTACTTTAGTCTAATACTGCGGATCTATACCGGCATCTATATCTATATCTATATCGCTAGCAGCACTCGCATCGCCGTCTCCCTTAGTATCTTCTCCGGGGATCTATAATTGTAATAGACCTAAGGAACGGCCTAGCGTATAGCGATACTATTAGGATTTTCGAGTATTAACTCGAATCGCCGAGTAATAAGAGTCCGAACGAGGCTGCTTCTTGCTATTATTAACTAAGTATAGCAAGAAGACTAAGGCTACACTTCGCTTGCCCTGCTATAGAAGGGTACGACTAATACGACTAAGCCGCTATATTAGATCCTTAATGTCTCGAGTAATCGGATACTTAACCTAGGCGACAATCTCGATATCTAGAATATTTAGACCGACGCTAAACGTAGTCGTCGCGATTATAATACGAATGTTCGATAGACTATCGGGGCTATCTATAGTACGGCTGTATTACTTATATCGACGAGTCTAGTCGCACTTAGCTACACTACTAGTATAGAATAAGATAGTAGTGTATATATTAACGCCCTTATTGTCCTAGGTATATCGCTTCTTCGGATCGGTACATTTAGTAGTCGCGGCAATAAGCTAGCTACGAATAGTATTAGCGAGCTCTTAGACCGACTTCCGACTATCGATAAATAGTAGAGCCTTCTTAATGCCCTAAGGTGTCGCCTCCTTTTCTAGACCGACGCTATTATTAACTACGAAGTATAAGTAGTCGTAGCAGCTAAGCTCGTCCTTGTTAATAGTGCGTAGGATATATATAGTGTCTAGTCGATTAATACTACTACGGAGAACCTTAGTCTTATACGGTTTATTTCTAAGAGGTCGGAAGCTACTATTCTTAGCTACAAATTCCTCTGTTTCCTTAGACACTAGCGATAGTTAGCTTAGCTTAGTTCAGTTTAGTTTAGCTTAGCTTAGCTCGATCTACTTACTAGTAGCAGAACAGCCTAACTATACCGTATCGGTACGTAGCAGCTTCCGTAGAGAGAAGATCTAGGTATATTCCTTACGAAATTCCTTCTACTTCGCTACTAGGTATATCTCGTCGATTATAACCAAACCAATTCGAGCCCGGGCCTTTAGGTCTCGAATAATAGCTCGGAAGTCCTCGCTAGCTGCAGTTTCTAGACTAAGGATAATATAGTAGACCTTGCTATCTATAATCTTCTAAAACAGGTTACGATCTATACTCTTATTCTCTACGGTAATATTAACTACATTAATTAGGTAGTTAGCTTGTCGAGCAGTCTCGCGCACATCCTCTATATACTCCTTACCGAGACGATTTAATAGTATAATCTTAATAACTACTATACCTATTAATAGGCTAAAGGCCTGAAAAGGCAAACTCTTGCCTTCGCTAGTCTTCGCTATTATTATTATATTAGAGCAAGCAAATACGAGAGCCTAGACACTATAGATCTAGGATTCCTTTAGTATATAGCCCTTGCCTAGATATATCTTGTCGAGAACCTTTCGCAGTCCTTAGGTAACGATATCGCGATGTATATTAATAGCTTCTAGGGTACGTATCGTATCGTAGACTAATTGCTATACTTGCTTAAGTAATGTCGCAGGATCGAAGATCTTATCGCAGCGCTACTAGAACTAGGCTTTATATTTACTCTTTCTAGCTAGCTACTCGACTAGTAGCAAATAGCTAAAGTCTAGCGATTCTCGACTAACGGTAGCGCGACCTAGCAGCTTAGGTCCGATAGGCTAGTTATCTTTCTTCGAAGCTACTTTCTTCGAAGCTGCTTTCTTCTCTTTCTTTACCTAGGCGCGGCGCTGCTTCTCGCTTATATTAGACTATAGTAGAGGCATTGTTATCGGCGATAGATACAGTAGGGCGGTAGCGGTAGCGGAAGTAGCGATAGCAAGGTCGAACTTAGAATATATACGAAGCAGCTAGCGCGCGCGCGCGTATGTGTATATATGTATATATACGAGCGCTAGACAGTTATAGTCGCTATAATAGTAGAAAGAAATAGCAAAGAGTATAGCGCGTAGCCCTAGATAGCGAAATAGAGGCAATAGTAACACTTTTTAGGCATTCTAAAGTACGGAGATTAGAGAGGTAGTTAATACGACGGACCGTACGTGCTTTGTTTAGCGCTATATATGCCGTTTGTAGGTAAGTAACACTAGGTAGGGTAGATAGCAAACGGGAATAATAATCGCCTCGTCTTAGAAAACTAAGAATTAATCCTTCTATTAACATTTTCGCGACTACTTTGTATAGGTAATCTAACAGATTATATTAAAACGCACAACTACGCCCGCGGATACAAACCGCTATTTTGCGTAGTTGCGACGCTATATTTAATCTTCGTAAATTGAACAATAATTAGGTATATAGAGGTGGCCCGGTTTAACTTCAGGCGCTCCGCTGTAGCTTTCTCCATACCCAATATAGTTAGTGTCGATGCCTAAGGATACAGAATCACGTAGAAGAATCTACAACACTCGGAGCGCCTGAGAGGAGGTAGGCCTGACCCGAATCCTGATCTGCACCCGCACCCGCACCCGCACCCGCACCTGCACCTGCACCTGCACCTGCAACCCTTTCGACCTCCCCAGGCCGCCCTATTGAGCGACGGTGTGCTGTGCGCAAGCCACGCCGCAGCCAGACGCACTCCTTCGCACTTCATTTGGCATGGCACGGCTCTCACGCCCGGAATCCTCCTAGCCGTGGGCGTGTGATGAGTTGCAGCTCGAGCCTCGCGCCTACACACTGCAGTACATCAATGCGCCCCCCAGCCGACGCCTTCTGCACATCAGCCTGATACACATCATCGCCGCCTCGACGCCTGCCCGCTTCCTGGAACAACTCTACCCCTTCATGGCTCAACAGCAACGACTGATCTATGGATACACGCTCGACACCGCTTCACTCTGCGTGCCGCACCTGCTCAGCTCAGTGTTGACTGCTTGCCTTTTAGCGCACTGATCGACAATGGACCCTACGACATTGATCGCTTTCCTCTTCCGAGCACCAGCGCATGCCAGAGCCGTCGAATTGCTTGGCAGCTGGGACAATTTTGAGAGGCCTTATCGCATGCACCATGACCGACTTCGCGGCTCTGGATTCTGGTCAGGTTGCTTCAAGTTCGACAACATCATCTGTGACGGCCACCAAGTCAATGGTGCGAAACCACGAAGCGGAGGTTTGAAGCAGGGCGGCACGTATTGGTACTACTACCGACTCAACTACGATGTGGATGCGTACGACGACCGTCAAACTCACACTACACACTGTCCATTACTGCCAGGTCAGGAAGTCAACGTGATCGAGGTGCCAACGGAGGTCATCGAGTTACCGAGTCGGAGCCACAGCGCGCATGGTCACAATGATCTCGCCGGAAGCCTGACAAACCTCGCCAGCTTGCACACACTGAATCCAACGGACAAGTATGCCATCTTGGAGCCCCCGCCGCGATCGAAAGTACATGCCCGATGCCTATCCGACGACGTTCTCGACGGAAGATTGGAGAACGACCCTGCCACAGTGATCGAAGAAGCCGCGTCACCTGTGTCACTGCCTCAGTCTCGCGAAGCACGGTCGGTGTCACCTCCGAGCCACCAATCGAATTACTTGCATGAGGATTTGCACGAGCGCCGAGTGCTCTCTGGCTCGAGCTCTGTGTACTCACGTCTGAGTTGTGTCTCTGATGCTGCAAGCCAGATAAGTGCAATGAGTAAGATGAGTATACCTGGCGACATGCCGCGCAAGCCGGAAGACATTTCCATGGACGGCAACTCCGCTTATCCGTGCAAGGCTGGTCCTACACCATTGGCGTCTCTCGAAAGTCTCGGTGCTGCTCTTTTCGATTCGACTCTCGCGACGCCATCGCCGGCGCCACTGAACGATCCTGTACTCCCTTGGACCGAAGACCACCAGCATCAGAGACGTAGCTCGGCGTGCACCTGTGGGCCCGAGTCGATAGCCAATGTGCAATTCTATGGTTCCCGACCTGGTACAAGCCTGGGCGAGGATCCTGAGCAGTATCGCCCGAGGATGTACAGTGTCCCATACCTAGAACTTCGAGACTGCAGTGATGATAGCTCTGCGGGATCGCCCACATCGGCGACATTCGAAATGTCAGAACGGTCTTCTCATGACCTCGAAGAAAATTCGACATCTGGCGACGAAATCTTCGACCTCATGTCTCCGACTTTGACTGCCACAACACTAAGCACAGGTGGTAACAACACTCCATTCCGTCTCTCAGCCCAAACATCACCAGATGACATTGAGCACGTATATGTTGAGGAGGGAAGACACGCCTTCGAAGCATCCAGCAAGCATCCCTCGAGGCGACCGAGTCAGAATAGCAGCAACAATAGCGGACCAAGCTTTTTCGAGCGTACTATAGCAAGACTCAGCCCATCCTCATTTATAAGCTATTCCCTACCTCGAAGCGCAACTGAGAGCGACAATTCTCTGGCCAAGACAATCTCTCGACCCTCAGGCCAGATGCCTTCGAGACAGGAGCTGTCCCTGCCTTCAATGTTCGCAGCCGAGGAAAGCTCCATGGCCGATGCGATTTTCAGCGAACTTGGATTTTTGAGAGATAACATACAATGATCTGTCTAAATGGGTCATTGATACAGTATACTGCGACGAATTAGCGACGATCATGATATTTTTTGTGTCCTTTTTGAGGAATTGGGATTGGGATTATGATTGGGATTTTGGAAACAACATTTTTGGGAAGCGAAACGGACTCGGGAACGGGAAATGGCACATGATATGGGCAGAGATACCAATTTTAGCGAGCAAGTGAGCGAGCGAGCATAGCGATGCTAGCGAGGAGTTTCTTTTTCTTTCTTTCTTCCTTATATTGATGGGAAATGGATGTCGCATGTATATTATTATTTTGTTTTGCCAAAGGAATGGGACGCAAGACGCTCATATGTATGCATACAAGTACGAACACAAACACACCTCTCCGAGGTGGTTGTGAGGGAAGGAAATCAGTAATGTAAATCGAATCGAATCCGATTTTGGAAAAGATACGAACTTCGCGTCTCCATCCCTCAGTCAGGCCAGCCCAGCATCTCAATGCTATAGGAATACAGATTTCGCCAAAGAAGATAGACTTCTTCCTTGTACGACATGAAGACTTTTTCCTCCCAGAGACAAGTGGCAGTATGCAATAATGCGCCCCCCCCACCTCCCCCCGCCAACACTTACCCATCCGAACAACGCCTCGTTTTCATCCATGCGTTTCGCGTTTGCTGCTTGCCTTTTCTCTAAGATCCATTCATTGCTCCTGTTCCCGCTTCTCAATCAAAAAAAAAAAAACAGTTCACCTTCAACTCCCGAAATCTAAACACCAAATTACGCCCTGTACATGATTCACTTCTTTTTGCTTCCAAAGTGACTTCCATCTCTATCGTGCTGCTATCGCTTTTGATCAAAGCTCTTGGCATGACTGGTATTTACCATGTCGGAATCTATAGTCCTCGTTCGTCCTGGTGGGCCGTAGTTTGTACTTCCGCCCGCTGCTGATCCGCCGCCATTCATGGTCACCCTTCTCCCGTTACCATCGTCAAAGCTCGTACGTTTGTGATTCGAGCTAGAAGTCTCTTCGTCGCTGTCCTCGGCGAGGTCGTGTAATGGATTTGCTTCCACGTCGTAAGAGTGTAGCATGTGCGCATTTTCTCCTCGTCCGGCTCTGGCATAGTCGCCTGATGCTAGGACTGGACTTCGTAATGACCAGCTAGCGCTTCGTTTGTGTTCGCTGCTTCGTCGAGATTGCATCGAGAGTCGCGTCTGGAGCCCTGCGAGGCCGTCCGTGGGTATGCCATCTACGTCGTGGTAGTTTCCGCGGCCATCGCGACCACTTTTGATGCCCATGTTCTCTCCGTTTGGATCTTCGCGAGAGAGGTTGAGTAGGTATACGCCAGTAAAGATGGTCAAGAAGCCACACAGAAGGGAGATTGTGTTGACTGCGTCAGTTGTGTTGAATCCTCGGAAGAGAATGAAGGATGCGGTCAGGGTGAAGGTCGTGAAGGTCACGTAGTAGAGAGGATTCACACTGCAGAAGCTGTCAGTAAGGACATGGTCGAGAGCAGAATGACGTAAATGCGTACATGTTGGTGCTGAAGGTTGCCAGAGCTTTGTTGAAGTAGTTCATCTGCGTAAGGATGCAGACCACCACAACATTCATGAAAACGTAGGTCGAAGGATGTGAGAATTGATTGTTGCCGCCAAGGGTGAGCTTGAGAGCAATGCCGAATCCTTTGATGGCCATGATGGATATGGAGCCGACTGTCGAACATATACTAATGTAGATCATGGGATTCTTCTTGCCGTATACTGGTGCGATCTTGTATATCATGACCAACGCGAACACGGTCACAATCACGCAGTATGTTAGAAAACCTGTAAGTCGTCAGAGCTGTATCTGATGTCCGGATTTCCGGTCCCAACTCACCAAGTTGCGTGGCATAGTGCAGCAGCTCGTCGATATTTTTTAATTCCTCGTCGGGCGGAGCATGCAGCACAATGACTACACTGCCTATCAGACATATCGCGCAACCCACTCTTCCTAATATTCCGAGCTGTTCTCCCAAGAAATAGCTCCCCAGGACAGCTCCGATCAAGACACTCAGCGCACCCAGCGGTGTTACCAGAATGGCAGGCGCAAAGGCGTATGCGCTGAAATTGCAAATTTCACCGATGACCATTGTTATTATTCCACCCCACCATATGGGATTTCTGAGGTATGCGAAGCCGTCGCCCTCGAAGCCATGTCTCTCGGCAGCAGCATTTAGGCCTTTCTTGGTGATCACGAAGGACGCACCGATGCCTAGGGTCGAAGTCACGGCGAGCGCGAGCCCGATGTATTTGTCTTCTATCATGGCTGCGTGGGGTGGACGAGCGAAGGCGGGTGCGCAGAGCGCGAGGCCTGGTAGTGGTGGCCTGCAGCGCCGGCGTGGGCAGCGGAAAGAATATGGGTGATTTTAGCGATGTCGGGATAGCTGCGGTCATGAGCTAGCTATTCATTGTCGAGGTCGTCGGGACTTTGCGATTGTTATGGTGGGCGTGGCTGGTTGCGTGAGGTCGGGGCAAGGTGGGCGCAGTGTGAGAGCGGCGGATGGTGGTTGAGTGTCGCAGGTGGAAGTCAAGCGTGAGCCAGGGATATTCGGTATGCGTGTCGTGCGTGTCTGCGTCTGTAGCCGTTTCGTGTCCTGGACTCGTGGAGCCGAGCCTAGCTCCCGCCCTCCAGCCTCACGCAGCTCGTAAGCTCGAATACCCTGCTTGCGTGCTTCTCTCAACGCTCGTTATTATTATGGCTGTTCGGATGCGCAGGCGCAGGCGCAGGCGCAGGCAGTCCACAGAGAGTCGTCAGCCCGGCTCCAGATCGCCGTGCAGTAGCCACCTCGCGCCACCAACCCTTGAGCCGCTGCAATGGTCACCACTCACCAGTCACCACTCACCACACGGTCACGGGTCTTCCCAAGCGAGATGCGGATGCAGCCCGTAAACGCTTAGCTCGAGCCTTGCACCCCAAAGCATTGCATACACCTCATATCATCAACTTGCTGCTTGTCATCTCATCACTACTCGACGAGGAGACGAGACTTCTGATCATGCCACCTCACATACGACTTCCTACCGAAATCCGATCCATCGTTGCAGCCCCTGACCAGCCCCTCGTGTAAGCACAAAGCACGGCACAGAACAAGAAAAGTGAGGAATATGAATATCGAAGGGAAGTAGTGTTTATAAAAGAATTTCATTGCTCATCGAGGTCACTATGCCTAGAGCTACAATGCATCAATTCCTGCAATCATACCCATGTCCAAAACTTCTTTTCCTTCGCTTCAACGCTGTGCAGTTGGTCCTTTTAACCCTGTGACCCCTTCTCAATGCGATGCGATGCATTTACTCTTCGTAGAGATCCATATCTCCCCCATCACCATTCAATTCTTCCATCGCATCTTCCTCGTCAAACATTTCTGCATCATCCGCATCCGACATGTCGCTCTCGCCATGGTTTGGTAGAACGACAATGTGGCCATCTTCGAGCTCCACACGAGCCGTCTCGCCATCTCTGATTGACCCTCTGAGGATGAGAACGGCCATGCGATTGAGCACTTCCTTCTCGATGAGTCGTGCCAAAGGACGAGCACCGTAGGCAGGTGAGTATCCAGCTGCGCCCAGATAGTCCTTGACTTCATTCGACAGATCGATCTTCGTCACATTCGTAAGTAGAATGTTTCGTCAACGAACTTGTTCTGTTCACGACTGACGGAGATGATAGGTCCTCGCAGTCGGTTGAAAATGACGATGCTAGAGATACGGTTCAGGAACTCAGGCAGGAAGTAGTTTCGCAAAGCCTGCATCACAAGCTCCTTGGTTGTCGGATCAATTCTGCCATCGGCAGCATTCGGTCGCGCAAGGTACTCTGCGCCCAAGTTCGATGTCATCACGACGATACAGTTCTTCGCGTCGATGATACGTCCTTGGCCGTCGGTGATTCGTCCGTCGTCCATGAGTTGCAGGAGTACCGTGAGGACCTCTTTGGCTGCCTTCTCGACTTCGTCAAACAGAAGGATGCTGAAAGGTCTCCTCCTAAGTGCTTCAGTCAACTGGCCACCTGCATCGTGTCCAACATATCCGGGTGGAGCACCAATCATTCGTGATAGAGAGTGTCGCTCCTGATATTCAGACATGTCGAACCGGATCATTGCCTTGGGATCGTCGAAAAGGAACTCGGCAAGTGCCTTGGTAAGAAGTGTCTTACCCGTACCAGAAGGGCCGCAGAAGAGGAATGACGGCGGCTGACCTGGGTTGGCAAGTCCAGATCGCTGTAATCGAATCGCATTTGCGACAGATGTGACAGCTTCCTTCTGGCCGACAACTTGAGCAGAAAGGACCTTTTCCATGTGCAGAAGCTTCTCCTTCTCAGTGGTCTTCAGTCTCGTCACAGGAATGCCAGTCCAGCGCGCGACGATCTCATTAATCTGGTCTGGGCCGACAGCATCCGCGACTAAAGCGTTGTGCTCACTGCCAGCACCGCGACGAGCAGCTTCTTCATCCTCGGCCGTCTTTTTCTGCTGCTCCAACTCCTTGATGCGGCGCTCCGTGTCAGGGATGGCGTAGTACTTGAGATCAGAAGCAGTCTGCAAATCTCTTGTACGCTCAGCCTCCTCTTGTTTGTTGCGAAGCTGATCAAGCTTGATCTTTTGTTCTTGGATCTCCTTCGATCGTTGTTTCTCGGCTTCATAACTCTCTCGGAGCGGTCGCAACTCCTCTTCGATATTAGCCTTTTCAGCTCGTGCTTCTCTCAATCGCGCCTGAGATGCTTCGTCCTTTTCGCGATCAAGAGCGTGAATTTCGATCTCAAGTTGTCGCAACTTGCGCTCCATGTTGTCGAGAACTTCTGGCTGGGATTCACGAGCAACACGTACCGCTGCTGCAGCTTCGTCGACAAGATCCACAGCTGAGTCAGGCAATCTGCGTTGTGTGAGGTATCTGGCAGCAAGCGTGGCCGCAGAGACGATAGCGCCGTCTTGAATGGTGACACCATGGTGAACTTCGTACTTCTCCTTCAGGCCACGCAAGATGGAGATGGTTTCGGCGATGGTTGGTTCCTTGACCAATACCTGCTGAAAACGACGCTCGAACGCCTGATCCTTCTCGATGTATTTGCGGTACTCTGAAAGGGTTGTTGCACCAATACAGTGCAGCTGACCACGGGCAAGCATGGGCTTCAGCAAGTTCGCTGCGTCCATGCCCCCTTCGCCAGAGCTACCAGCGCCCATGAGCAAGTGAATTTCGTCGACGAAGAGTACAATCATCTCTTTGCTGTCTTCGATCTCTTTCAAAACGCCCTTCATGCGTTCTTCAAATTCTCCTCGATACTTTGAACCAGCGACCAGCGCGCCAACATCGAGCGAGAGGAGCTTGCAAGCTGCAAGTCCTGCCGGTACATCTGCGTCTACAATCCGGCGTGCCAGACCTTCGACGACTGTCGTTTTACCGACACCAGGCTCACCAATCAAGACTGGGTTGTTCTTGGTTCGCCTGGAAAGGATTCGAATAACTCGCCTGATCTCCTCTTCACGACCGATGACAGGGTCGATCTTGCCTTCTCTTGCCATTGCCGTCATGTCGATTGTGAACTTCTTAAGATTCTCGTTCTCCTCTTCAGCGTCGGCTGTCTTGCTGTCCACTCGCTTGGTACCTCGGATTTGTTGTACCGCTTGGTCGATCAACTTGGAATTGGGGATATTTGCCTCCTGCAGGCACTTCTGTATGGTGCTGTCTTGCACTAGGCATTGTATCAGGTGGTCGATTGCGATATACGAATCTTTCTGCGTCTTGGACAGCTCGTTTGCGCTCCGGAGCACCTTTGAGAATGCTGGGGCTACGGAAACACTGTCAGGCGGAGGGTCTTGAGATGGTATCCGCACGAGCGCCCTCTTGAGTGCTCGCTCGGCTTGTTGTGGGTCTCCATGTGCACGCTCGATGACCTGCTTGAACATCGGCGCCGAAGTAGCAGCATGTGAAGCGTGTGCATGGTTGGTCTGCTGATCCTTGGACTGATCTGGTTGTGGGTCGATCAATGCTACTGCGAGGTGGAGGGGCAGTAGCTGCGAGTGTTGGTACTGTTGTGCCAGATCTTGTGCGTCAGACAGGGCTTGGGTTGCCCGGTCTGTGAAGCTCATGTTCGAAGCCATGATTGCTTTAGTGTGGTGAAAGGTGTAGTAGTGGGAAAGGTGTGTATGTGGTAGTCACGAAAAGAGGTGTGGTTGTTGGGCTCTTGCGAGCACTCACAGTGTGTTTGTTGTCTGCGATTGAGTTTGATCGGTGGGTGTGTACGCGAGAAGCAGGAGAGAGTTATGTAGTCGTGAAACACGATTTTCCAGACCGAGCTCGACCTCACTGGCGCATGCGAGATGTTACTGGCGATTGGCGAAGGTTCTCGTGGCTTCGCGACGTCAGTGCGGCAGGGACGGCCCGAGCGTCGATGCCATGCTTGGGAGAGAGCTGTTTCGATACGTGAAGAAGCCCAAGTCACACCACAAACGAAAGGCTGCTGGGATACCTTTGCATAGTGCAGCCGCTGAGGCCCTGACACGTCTCGTGATGCTCGTTGACAGTGATGGCGCTGCCCTGCCGATGTCCAAGACAGTCTGCTGAGCCAGCACATCACTTCGGAGCATGTCGGTTCCCATGCAGTACAAGGCATGCAGGACGTATCAAGCGAGTGGTCTAGATGTATAGTATAGCAACAAGGCGGACGACAGCAAGGAAAACGGCACCGAGGATACGTGCGCTGGTCATATACATTTCTAGGTTATCGTATTCGGCCGTTGTTCTACTTATCTACATGGGAGTTTGCACGCACTTTTTCCCGTGTACGCACTCCCTCTCCCGTCATCTCAGCTGCTGTATCGCTGCTCGATTCGTCTCTTCTCATCTTCACACAGCATATGCTCCCTTGCATATCCCAATACAGCCAGTCGAGCGTACTCGTGACGTATCCAGCGTCCTTTCCGCGGCGTTTCATGTACGTGCTGTTGATCTTTTCATCGTAACGCCAATCTAAGTGTGAACAATGAATCCATTCATGTATGCAATCGTAACAAAAGAAATTCCACGTGGACCAGAACCGATGGGAATGGCGCCAGCTACTGCTATCGAGTGGCACCAGGGCTCGAGACAGCGTCCAAAGGTGCTGCGTGCAGGGCGGGCTTGGCGCTTTTGCCCATCGTACCGTTTCGTTTTCTTTCCAGGGCGTTGAGGACCCACTCGCCGACTTCCATATCGATGAATTGTCCTGGGTTCGCGTCGGGCTCCGCAGAAGCTTCTGCCGATGGCTCAGGCTGTGACTCGCCGTTCGCTTCGGCAGCCTCAGCAGCCTCAGCAGCCTCTTCATCCTCTTCGGCGATTGTTGCTGGCTTGTCAAGAGCCGCGAGCCAGGCATGCTGAAGCAGCATAGGATACGTAGGTCGAAGCTTCGGAATCTTGTTTAGACAACCAGCGACAAAATCACGGGCGGCCTCGGAGAATTGGTCCGCAGGCAAATCAGGAGGATCACCATCGACAATTGCCTAGGTAAAGTCAGTGGAGGTGTACTGGTGAAGTTCTGTTGTACGTACCGCTAATTGCGAGAAGATGTTGTCATATGTCTCTGGTGGATATGGGTAGCGACCCAAGGCGCATTCGATGATCGTTAGGCCCAAGGACCAGATATCTGACTGCACACTGTAGGTTCCGACACCAGCTGCACCGGCCTGGGCGGTGCCACCACTCGAAATTCGTTCAGGCGCCATGTATGATTGACAACCAATATTGGTCTTCGCTATGCTGGCCACCAGATTTCCAGAGACACCAAAGTCGCAGATTTTGATTTGTCCCCTTGTGTTGACGAGAATATTCGTTGGCTTTACATCTCGATGAATGATATTGTGTTCCTCCTTCAACGACTTCAAGCCAAGCACAGTGGAGTATGTGATCTTGCGCAGCACACCCTCAGGTATGCCATCGCCATATATTTTATCGATACTGCCTCCGTCCATGAATTCCATGCAGATGTATACTGCGCCCTCCTGGAAAAAGGCGCCGTAGAAGTCGACAATGTAGGGTGATATACATCGGTGAAGGATGTCGAGTTCCATGATGATAGACTGAAACTTGGCGTCATCCAGCTCCAGTCGCATTTCCTTCATGGCCATCACGATTCCAGTGGTGCCTCCTCGCCCATACGCCTGGGCAGCCGTGGCGTTGGTGGGCGTCTCAACAGCCGCTCTCGTCGGAGAATTGGGCTCTTCATCTGCTTCGGACTTGGACTTGTTGCCAGCCAAGCCTTGACCTACCTTTCGAAACTTCGGTCTTGAATGTCGTACTTTGTACACCGTGCCGTAGTTTCCTTTACCGAGCTCATCCAATGTGTCCACCTCGTTCAAACTTATGCTGAAGCTTTTACCTGACGAGAAGTCAATGCCTTCGCCGTGAACAACTGCTTTGCCTTTGAACTTCAGCGCGCCGGTCTTTGTGTCGATCAAGTCGGCGTATTTATCCATGGCAGTCTCCTGCTTCTTCGGCTCTTGACCGTTGGCGTCTCCACTAGCAGGTCCACCTCCCATCTGCGACAGAGTCATCTTAGGCTTCTGTCTGCCTCCAGTCGGGGCTGCTGGGCTCGCCACAGGATTTGCGCCAGGTAGACCTCCTGGAAGCTTCATGCCGCGCCTTTCTGCCATGGACATCGGCTGCCCTGACGTATTATTGCCAGTGATCGCTGGCGATGACATGGTTGGGTGCGGTGCCGGACGACTCATATTCGCAGGCAGCTTGAAGCCAGCAGGAAAGCCACCAACTGCAGGGCCAGGTGATTGAGCTGGAGGACTAATGGGCCCACGATTGGGCTGCGGTGTGGCGGGACCTTGTCTTGCTAGCGAGAAGGCCTTCATCCTTGCTGCAATATCAGGATTCATGGGAGTCGGACCTCCTCTCTGTGCAAATGTCGCGCCTGCTGGTCTTCTTGCAGCATCCAGAGTTCCCCGCGCGGTCGAGGAAGCTGTCATATTGGACATGCTCAAAGGAACACTTGGGTCGGAGGTGATTCGCGGAGGACATCGCAGCGTCGGACTTGTTGGGGCGAAGGGTGATGTTGATTCCCCAGGAGATGTTGGGGGAGAAGGAGAGTCCAGCGGTGACTCGGGCGCATCGTCGGCCATGGTGAAGGTGAATTGAATTTGTCCAAGGTATGTCGCGCGTGACGTGAAATTGGCGTAGCTGTTCAGCAGCCACTAGCGGGCCAGCGATGCGACAGGTGCTGTACTGTGTTTTTCAAGCAGACGGCACACGCTGCCAACGATGCGGCTCTGCCTGGTACAGGAGTGTGAGAGGGTGTGGCAGTTGGTAGGGTTAGAGTTTGCGTGCGGGAGCTGCGGCACAGAGAGCCTTGAGGGACTCGTAGGTCGATGGCAGAAGGGCTCTCGATGTGGGGAGATGGCAGGAATGACGATGCGATATGATGTGGCGCAGAGGCGTGGGCGTGAGGCAGTTGGCAGGAAAGCAAGGCGGAGGCCAAGCGAATCAATCGTCGGTAGTGCCCGCAGGCTCGAGAATAAGGACTGATCAAAGTTGTTTATGTCTCCCCCACGCACACGCGAACGGATACTCTGAATTATACAGTACGTGACTGGAGCTGCGTAGCATTCACAGGCCGTCAGGAACGAGAGCACAGACGATCGGATGCATGATCCAGGCACGGCACGTCTGCGTAGTACGTACCTAGCAAGCGGCCGGGGAAGCGTCAGGTATTCACCTAGCATTTGACATCACAGCAGCGTGGTCGACTGCAGAGTTAGAGCTTGTTGATTCCAACGTTTGAGTTCTGTGTGCGTGAACTGTTTCAAAGTCGCGAACGGGGAGGGGACATGCTTATTAACGTTAGCGCCCGCCGCCCACGTCCACGCGCACGCCGAAAGCCTGTAGTGTAGGTAAGGTGTCTCCGCGCCGCGCCGTCTTTTCTAAAACGTGACGCTTTCGAGCGACGGAGAGTCGATTGATTATTATTCTATGCTGACCTCACATGTGTGATGAGGTCTGCCAACATTCTTCCAAGACCTCCCAAGACCCTACCAAAGCCTAACTACCAAGACCACCCCTTCGCTTCCGCCACTCCCTCCAGCAACAATAAGAATAAGTTGCCTGATCCATTGCCGGCACCGTGGCCCATTCTGCATGTGAAGTTCGACCAGCGTCCAGTCGTCACATCGCCACGCCACCGTCACAGATACCAATACCGCGCCTTCGCTCGGGCACAGCCCTTGACGCTCGCCGTGGTCTGACCTGACCGGACCCCAACGCTGTCGTCGCTCCTACCTCCATTCACGACACACATCCCACCCGCGTCGATTGCCACCATGCCCTTCCTACATTCTCCCAAATCCTTCCGACTGCGCGAACTCACCAGCGCATCCCTAATCGCTTTCAAGCAACGCCGAATGCCATCCGACCAAACGCTACCCACACAATATCCTGTATGGGACGCAGCTCTCAACGCGACCATATCAACAATGGAAGTCGTCGCGTACGCTCACGACTCCCATCCAAACTTCCTCAACCTTGCTGCTCTGGTCTGCGAGGCCGTGCTGGAGGTCGTTTTCGTCGCCTTGCCAGGTTTCCTGGTCGCCATCTCCGGCATGTTCGATGCCAACAGCCAGAAATTCGTTGCCGAACTCAACACTATGGTCTTCACGCCGTGTCTTATCTTCACCAAGCTCGCCAGCCAACTCAATGCCGGCAAGCTCGCCGATCTCGTTGTTATTCCCTTCATCTTTATCGCTCAGACCTTGGTGTCGTGGCTTTGTGCTCAGACTATGGCTTGGTCGTTTGGCTTTGGCAAGAAGAACAAAAAGATGCACAAGAACTTCGTGCTTGCGATGGGAGTCTTTGGCAACTCGAACTCCTTGCCGATATCGCTCGTCCTAAGCTTGAGCAAGACTATCAGTGGCTTACATTGGGACGAAATACCAGGTGACAACGATGACGAGGTGGCCGCAAGAGGTATTCTATATCTGCTTATCTTCCAACAACTGGGGCAATTGCTACGATGGACATGGGGCTACAGCGTCCTTTTGAAGCCAGCCGAATCCTATACTCCATCCGAGCGCGGAGACGAGCTTGATGACGAGCGTTTGATTGAGGAAGGTCCCTATAGCGACGAGGACGATTCTCCTACGAAAGCAGTTCGAAGGAGTGGCAGTGATTCCGGCTTTAACAGCGGCTCGGACACTCCCCACTCCATGCATGATTCGAGAGTCAATCTCCGCGACGTTGTGCCAGCGGCGCCTGGTAATGGCAACGACATCAGCACTGAGCCCAGAAAACTCGGTCGCTCACATCAAGGTCGAGACGAGGATGCATCGAGCATCGACTCCGATTCCATAACACACTTCCCAAGCTTCTCACGGACACTGTCTGCGCGATCGGACACCACCGCGTGGAAGAAGCCGCTCTATCAAGCTCAGAGCTCGATTCTCCGCACGACTAAGAGAGTGTGGTACACCATCAGCACTTTCTCTCAGAACCTGTTCCGCAAGCTGCCACAACCCGCCCAGAAAGTTTTGACCGTGTTCTGGTCTTGCTTCAGCGCTTTCATGCGTGGCGTGTGGCGCCAGATGAATCCACCACTTTGGGCTATGCTGGCTGCCTTGATCGTAGCGAGTATTCCCAAGCTTCAAGAAATCTTCTTCACGCCTGGAACTTTAATAAACAATTCGGTCACGCGAGCCATTCAACAGTCTGGTAACGTCGCCGTGCCATTGATTCTGGTTGTCCTTGGAGCAAATCTGGCTCGCTCGACTCTACCTCAAGATCAACTGGCCACATCGCGGGAAGAGAAGAAAGAGGAGAGAAAGCTTCTTTACGCGTCACTCCTCGCCCGTATGGTCCTTCCCGTGATCATAATGGCGCCAGTGCTTGCGCTTGTTGCAAAGTACATTCCGGTTTCTATCCTCGATGATCCAATCTTCATCATCGTCTGCTTCCTGCTCACAGGCGCACCATCTGCGCTGCAGCTTGCGCAAATCTGCCAGATCAACAACATCTTCATGGGCGCCATGTCGAGCCTACTAGTCGCAAGCTACGTTGTGGTTATCTTCCCAAGTACCTTGCTCCTGGTTTTGATGGCGCTCGAGGTAGTCGAATGGGCTGTGATATGATTTTGAGGAGGTTAAATTAGAAGAAAAACACAAGAAGCTTACAGCAGACACTCTAGAAGACATTATTGCGAAGAAGACGACTTCCAGGCAACATGGTACAGGCACTCCATGGCGTGGAAAGCAATACAGGCCGTTTGATTGTTTTTGGTGGCGCGTGAAGGGATCATATAACGACAGCAGGGCTGCGCGCTGCGCCAGAGACGACTTTACGATACTTTGAGTTTGGCGGGCAAGCGTAGCGAGGGCGTTCGAAGGGCGAGGTTGTATTGTATGACTTCTTTCAAAGAGTCAAAGTCGAACTGTATATTTTTTCTCGTGCTGGGGCAATAGATACTATGTACAATTTCCAGCTCTTCGCCGTATCGTCAACTTCAACTTCCCAAGCAACAACGTGAAGTATTGCTCTCCCCCATCGGCATCCGTCGTCGAAAGGTGCTTACGCTGGAGCCACTATCAACGATCGCGGCACCACTCAATATCGTACTCGTGTCGTCTGTCTCTCGTACCAGTCGCATCTTCTTTCTCAAATCACCTCAATCATCGCCCAAGCGAGTGGCAGTACTCATGCAACCTTGAAAATGCCGGTGAGCACGATCACTCTCCTCAATCGGCGAATTGATTGGGTGTTCACCGAGATTTGCTGATAACTACTCCCCCAGAAACCATCTCACGAAGCTGGAGATCTTCAGCCAGGGCTCTGATGCCACGTAGATGCGACGCTCGCGGTGATTGAGAACGGCCTGGGCTCGTCTGAAAATGCTGCGAACGCGGTCTGAGGTCGCCATCTCGCCACTTGACACTGTGTTTTCATCTCCCATGCTTCGCCATGCATTAAAAAAAGACGTAACTATGCTATTGCTATGCACAACGAAACATCATCGACCTTTACAGGAATTCCAGGGGGGGTATGGAAGTCATCCTCCTTCTTCGCACCCAAGGGTTTGGATCGATCATTTCGAAGCACCTGCAGCAACTGAATGAGCGGCCCGAATGTCTTCACTTTCCACTTTCGAAGGATCCACACTTATTCGCATGTCGCCGCGTTCATGCTTCTTGGCCATCTTTTTGAGTGCTTCCTCGGTCAAGCCTTGACGGAACATGCGCTCGAGCACATCCTTCTTTCGTGTTTTGTGATCGCCGACGCTGATGATAACTCCGGCTGCAATGTTGCAGGCAATGGAACAGGAGAGAATCGTGGCCGTGAGTGCTTCGGGCCGAACATGGTAGTCTATCGACCACGTGCATGTTCCGAGCGCAACTTGGAAGAGACTGTGACAATCCAGCAGCACGACAGCCGCAATCATGAGCCGTAGTGGGAAAGCATGGTGAGTAGCGGTTTCGTGAGGCTTGTAGAAGGTGTGACTTTTGTTGAACTTCGCTTGGTGGTACTGCAGCCGCTTCTGCTGTCTTGGACTCAAGACAGAGTATTCGGCCATTTCTTCCTTGTCGACAATGTCATCAATTTGCTGCTCAGTGGCGCTTCTTCTTCTGTCCGGTAGGTCGTTGTGGTCGACAAGTGCAGGCAATTCTTGCTCCTTTCGCAACCGCCAAGTCAGATGATGATAGTGTGCTATGAAGCACATATGGTATGTGTCGACTGCGCGGAATGGTGCCAGTCCGTCGCCCATAAGAGCAAACAATGCGACGAGAATGAGATCGATAACGTTTATAATGTACTCCTGGCGGTCTCCAACGTAGATCCATCCAATAAGAGCGAATACCCATGCGGCACCAAAAAGTGTGACCAGTGTAGCGTATACAAAAACGAAGAGGCCCAAAGGCTTGCTGATATATTTCCGGAAGCCTCTCATTGAACGTTTGAAGCCTTCACGTTTGGAGTGCAAGAGATGACGGACATGATCGTTAAGTTCCGCCACATGTTCCTCGGCCCAGCCTTCAAGACTGACACCATGCGGAAGAACAGCATAGTGAGAATCGCTCAGCTCGGAGGAAATTGACATCTTTCGTTTCAGATTCGACTCCTGAAGCTCGATCGCATCTCCTTCCGTGGGTTGAGGGGCTGGCTGGGGGGTTGGCTGGGGCACAGGCTTGCGTGGTATTGACGGTCCAGGCTGGCCTAATCTTGACGCGCGAGTACCTGCTCGAGAGCGTGCAATTGCTTCGATGTGCTCAGAGGTCGGCCTCCTTGATAAAGTGTAGGTTGGTCTGCGATTGACAAGCCCACCAAGATCCGGCACGAAGAGGGAGTTTTGGAGGTTCGTGAGGGTACCAAGAGTCCTCACCTCGGGATCAACAAGATCAAGCAGATCGATGACATCTGCCTCATATTCAGTATCCTCTTGCATTCGCTGAGAGTACCTGCCATCTGGTCTCTGCGCTGTTGAAGTGTTACTCCTGAACCTGGAGAGACCGAATCCTCTTGACCGCTGCGCTGCGTGTCCTGCACTGTGCATAGCGGCGCCGCCTGCGCCCAATCTCTCTGGAGAAGGTGTCCGCGTAGCCATATCACGGGCATCTATTCCCGGCGTGGTGGCTCGTGAGCCCTCTGGAATATTTCGATATCCTGGATGCGTTGCGCCACCCCTCGGAGTAGCTTGCGCGCCTTCTGTGATTGTTGAAAGTTGACCTGCACCACCATCTAGGGTTCTCTGCCTGGACAGATCGGTAGCCTGGGATAAGACATTACTTGATGGTCGCTGTGGTGCCGAGAAACTCCTACGCCTTCCGGTCACAGCATCATCTTCTTCTTGAGCGTTGCTGTCAGAAGGCGCCTGAGAAGCCGGACGCGGCAAGATGACGGTAGTATTGGACGGTAGACGCCTGATCCTGATGTTCGATGGTGCTCTCAGACTCTCGAATGATGGGGCTCCTGGTATGTTGCGAGCACCTGGTGTTGGAGGCGGATTTGGGCGATCTTGCTGACTGGACAAATCGCCACGCCGCCGGCCTCCTTGACTGAAGTAGTCCATGATTCAGGCTGCGCGGGCAGAAGAAATCTTAGCTGCTGTTTCGCCCCGGCAGGCAATGCGTGTTTCAGTGTGCGCAGAGCTTGATACACGCAGCTTCAATTTGCCGCCAGCGCATATATTTTGGGGACTCTGAAATGATTCGTCAAAAGTGCATATTCTCTGCGTGTTCCAAGCTTCAATCGTTTCGATTATTCCGTTGGATATCAATTCCTCCCAAGGCGGTCACAGTCGGCTTCGGCTTACTCGGATGAGCTGAAGGCCAGTAGTCGCGTCTCCGGTCACGCGTTTCTGCTAGCAGTCGGGCAGACGGTGTCCAGTGGTATTGTATGTACAGCCGAATGGTCGCGTAGCAGCCGCTCGTGCGAGGCGAGGGCCTGGCCCCTGCAGAAAGGCGAAGTGAGGAAAGTTCCAGCAGCGAGGAAGCCTGACCTGATTCTTGCTGAAGGAGGAGCAACGCAAGCTTTGGAAACAAGCTTTCCCGTACGTCACCAGATCCCAGTACTTCTAATTGCTGACGAAGCATGCAGAGCAGGTCGGATATCGAATAAGCACGGCAGCCTCCTGCTTTCGAACACGCACACAGTGTGTCGACAACCGGATGCCTCAAGCGTCACTACTAGTAGTGATGAAGACACACAGGCGAAACGGGTGAACGAAGTCTTTGCGCCGCTGTGAGCCCGGGCGCTTCCGAGATTGCCAGCGCCACTCCCGTCGAAAAGCTCGACATCCGGTAGAAGCATTTCACCGTCATCTCTTCATCGGCCTGCACTTTCATACACCGAAGACGTGTCTTGCGCTATCATCGACCTCTACCTTCGCAACCGACGGACGATGGGCGCAGCATTCGCTCCCTACATTGCACTGCCTCGGCCCTGACTGTCGATCCGAATATTCAATTCAGCGTTGACGGCCAGGTAGCATTTGGACGGAGCACATCGTATGGCACTGTTACTGATTACACCTTTCACATTCGGTATACACTTGGCACATTCAAGTTATCAAAGGTCCAGTAGGCAATCGCATTAGTTCTACCAGCAGTACTGACAAGATCTCCTGCAGTCTGCGAATGTCACCGTCTTGTTCACAGGCATGGCAATGAGAGATTTATCTGATCATGTTGCACTACTTGCCATCAGAAATCTACGAACCGGCGAACATTGACACTCGATGAATTATTGATCGCGTCTAACAACGCTTGAGAAGATAGATCGCAACAGCTGCCCTGCCCTGCCCGTAGCCTTGCTCTTAGTAGGGATGTTAGAATACAGCTTTCTGTAAATGCAGGCTCTGTACAGTGTACACTGTATAATACACTGGTGGACACCAGTGTACATATGTCGGCCCTACCCAGATACTAGGATATTCAAGGATTATGGCTGCAGGACCGTATATGTACATACCAGCTAAATTTTCCGCCCCTGCGTACATAGTGTATTACAGAGCGTGTACCCATACACATGTACACTGCGATTAAGCGAGATGGCGGACGGGGGTAATCCCCGTAAGCGGCAGCTAGCTTGAAAGCGTTAGACGTAGACTTTTTAAAGGTGCGGATAATTCCTTTAGGCAGTACGCTAGCTTTAACCAGTTAGATCCCGTTTTCAGGGATCACCGCCGTCCGCCATCTCGCTAAATCGCGGTGTATGTGTAACCCCACCCCACCCCCACCCCACTCTGGCGAATGCTGTCGGCCAACGCGGCCCGCAGCTGCCACCAGAGTTGTCCTCGCTGCTGATGACTAGAACTCTTTGCTGCAAGTCAATGAATGCCAGAGCATTACATCGTCCGCGCCTCTTGTTTAACAGTATACGACCGCTTACAAGCCACCCCTCAATCCCTCACACCCGGCGCCTTGCAACCATGGCCAACATTCATACACCCATTCCGAATCTGAAGCTCAACGATGGCAACTCACTTCCAATGGTACACCCCTCTTGCCGTCAACTTTTCATTTCCAGCTAATCGATCATAGCTTGCCTATGGCACAGGCACGGCTTGGTACAAAACCGGAGATGAGAGTCAACTCGACCAAGCATGCATCGACAGCGCAAAGATGGCCATCAAGTTAGGATATCATCACTTGGACGGCGCCGAAATGTACAAGACCGAGACTGAGCTTGGCATTGCTATCAAGGAGTCAGGCGTTGCTCGTGACAAGCTCTATCTGGTCACCAAGGTCATGACCAACATCGCAGACATCCCCAATGCCTTGAGAACAAGCTTGAAGAAGCTCCAGACCGACTATGTCGACCTTTATCTTATCCATGCTCCATTCTTTGCTGAGACAAAGGAAGAGCACCAAGCCAAATGGAAACAGATGGAACAGTTGAAGAAGGAAGGTCTTGCCAAGTCAATTGGAGTCAGTAATTATTTGCCAGAGGTAAGAAATGCGAATATCTCGCCTTCGCGAATCCTTTGCTAACTGTGCTTACTTCTAGCATCTTGACTTCATCCTCGATGGCTGCGAAATTCCCCCAGCCATTAATCAAATCGAGTTCCACGCCTACCTCCAGCACCCAGACCTGCTTGCGTATCACAAGGCGAAGGGCATTGCCACCTCAGCATACGGACCATTGACTCCAGTAACGAAAGCTGCAGGCGGCCCAGTCGACGATCTGCTTGCTGCCCTGGCGAAGAAATATGCCGTCAACCCTGGCGAGATCTGTCTCAGATGGTGTATTGATCAGGACGTGGTGGCCATCACGACTTCTAGCAAGGAGCAAAGGCTGAGCGACTACCTCCGAGCCATGACCTTCAAGCTTACTCCCAAGGAGATCCAGCAGCTCAACGAGGAGGGCGCTAAGAAGCATTTCAGAGCATTCTGGAACCACATATTTTCTGCTGATGACCGCAGGTAGACAGTAGACATGGGTAGAGAAGCAGTCTGGCTTTGACTAGCTTCTAAAAAGCCGAAGGCATGATGCCTGGCGTCTGCTATTCTTTCTTCGCATTTCCATGAACGCTCCTGGCTCCCTCTATTAACTCTTTTGCTGAAAAGATCGGTCCAGTCCTTCAATATGAACGTAAGGAGAGATCGCGCTTTTTGAATCTCTTTCTGCTGGTCGAGCAATTCTTCGACATCCCAATTAGCCCACAAAAACTTTCCGTCCAACGCTTTCGCGTGATTGGAACGATCTTGTTTGAACAGTCCAAGCTTGGCTGACTTGGGTCAATGGCCGGGTGTTGGTCATGATGATCGGTCGGTGTGTAAGAAGGGTACGTCAATACTATCATGGGCTAGGAAAGAAGTATTCAATACCATCTTTCAAATGAAAAATTCGGCTACGAGAGGAGCTTTGATGTTCTTGGTGGGTCTCGCTCTTATACTCCGGACTTTACGGCGATTGTGGTTTGAAGCTTGATGTCGTAATTTGGACTGTTTGGCCTGGCAGGCCAACAGCGGTTGAAGAATGTCTTGCTTTGTAACCAACGTAATCCAAATCTACTGATCTCGACTCGGAGTTTCTGCTCTGCCGGCATTGCCGAGTTGTCGTTTCGGAGGACTCCAGCATAGCACTACTTACAATGTCAGCGATCGCTAAACAGCTTTTGGCCTTGTCTGTGCGTTATTGTGTGTAATGCAGTTTTCCAGAGATTCGCGAGAAATATACGTATATCACGGCTACTTGCCCAGCACTTCCTGAATACAGCGCTGTTCAGATCTATCATATGTCGCTCTTCAAATGCTCGTGTCCCGGAGCACTCATGCATTGCTCCAACCAAAGAAAATCAAGCCCTGCTCTTGAACTCGCAACCTTTATCTCTGTTCACCACAAAGATGCTATCAAATGTTCCCCATTCCTGGCACCAAATTTAATGTTTTGCTGTGACAGCCTCGCCAGTGGCCTTCTCAACGAGCTCCTTTGCCATGTCTCCGAGCGCAACCATGCACACGGTCTGCCATACTCCGAGACCAATACGAGGAGCGACACCACGGTACAGACCCCTAATACCGTTCTGCTTGTAGATGTAAGAGAAAGTGTTGGCGACTGTCATCTTCTTGGGACGGTTCGGGTCCTCAGTCTTGGACTGCATTTCTACACGAACGACCTCGATAGGCTGGTTCCATGCGCTGAGACCTCCACCGAGCGCAGAGGCAAGGATTCGTTCGGGTGCGGTGAGCTTCGTCTTTGGGTCTTCTTTGCCGGTGAACTTGCGAATACCGTTCTCACTGCATTCAAATTAGCATTTGACAAGCGCAAGTCCTGCTTGTGCACTGCCAACTTACGCGACTCTGCTGAGACCGAAACGTGATCCCCAGTTAGTGACCTGACGAACAGCGACCGCATTCACACCCTTGTTGATGCCCTTGATACCCTCAGCTCTGTAAATCGCCATGAAGGTCTCCATTGTGCCCGGTGGCTTCTTGCCGACAGCAGCGGCCTTGTGCTTGGTCATTTCCACGGTCTTCATACATGTGCAGAAACCCATCGTCGCGTACGCCTGCGCCAGGCCACCAGTCATACCTCCAGAGATTCCTGCCACGAAGTTGTTGGCGCCGAAGCTCTTGGCGTAGTATTCAGCCTCGGAGGCAACGAAGAGGAGGACAGCGCCTTTCGTGGAAGCTTCAATCCAAGCCCATGGAATGAGACCTTGGTAGACTGTGCGCGCGCATTAGCATGAGTCCTAAAAGTGATGGTGTCCATTTCTCATACAGCCAAAGAAGCCTCCTCGGCCCCATATTCTGGCAATCGCGCCTGCCATGCCGTCTTTACGGTTTGCTGCCATTGTGGTCTTCATGACTTCCAGCGGCTGGCCGAGTGTGGTGACCTCGAACATATTCAGACCTGCGCCGAGCAGCAAGTTGCTGAACTTGACGGGCTTCTTCTCGAGTTTCTTGCCATCACCGGATACCGCAACGAGCGGCTTGGAATCGGCAGACATGCTTCAGTGGATGGATATGCTGAGAAATGGCCTGACCAAGGCGATTGTGCGGCTTCTTTGCCTACGACTTGGTTTGTAGAGGAGGTTGGGTGTTCGTGGGCTCGTCGAGAGGAGGTTTGGATGATCTGTTGAGATAAGGTGGTAACCCTACGGAGAGCTTGCCCTGGAGCTGGAAGTCGACCGTCTCACACGTGGACAGGGCTGAGGTTGGCGAAACACAGACAAAAAAGTGGGTGTGGGAGAGAACAATGACGGTAATCAAGTGAACTGCAGTCGCATGTGGTCTGTCAGTCCGCAGCACTGAGCAGCTGCTACCTTAGTCCCAGTTTGTTTTCGGTGAGATGTAATAAAATCCGCACGGCTATACATAGGCTCAAGCTCTCACCTGCACTCAACCATCACCGCAGCGGATCAGCCCGAATGAGCCGATGCCACACGGGGAGCACAGCTCAGCATGCCCGAGACAACGATTTCTCGCTTTCCGACCTGCATGATCAGATCTCAGCGAGCGCTTCCGATGCTACCCAGTGGGCACACGATGGGATTCAACCACTTGCGAATTCCTACAATTGCGACTGTGGTGAGCGGCCACCGCCAGTGCTTCGCGAGCTCAGGGTCAGAGATCCAGTACCAGTCCAGTACCAGTGGAGTAAGATGCGTGCCCTGCACCTTCAATAACCGATAACGAGCATCGCGCTAAGAGCTTGAAACTCCGCGGTGAAAATTAATCGGCAGGGAAGGGTACTACAGCACTGACTGAAACACCATTCGACCTTTCATCAAATCTCGAGTGCCAGCTGCCGCTGTTTTGATGGTATTGATACATAGGAAAATCTAGCTCGGACAGTGACCGACAATAACACCTCTAGCACGATCAAACAGCGCTCCCTATGTATACAGTTCGAAGCTTGTAATACACGGACTGAAGCGCTTTCCACATTTCATGCATGTATGCTCTTAAATCATCAATGGACCGTCGTCCTTCCGCCGCCATCGCCGCCGAGCAAGTCCAATGCCCGCTTGGTGCGTGCTGGGTTTCTTTTAGGTGGTGTAGGCAACGTGTAAGCAATTCAGAGCTTAGCGCCAACAAGCTTAGCCCAGTGCTCGGTGCTGAAGGATTTCGGTCGCTCGATTGGTGCACCAACAGCGCGGTCGATAATGAGTTGAGGGAGGACACCAATTGCTCTGCTGACACCAAAGAGGACAGTGTAGAAGTTCTGCTCGGTGAGACCATAGTACTGCAGCAAGACACCAGAGTGGGCATCGACGTTAGGGTATGGGTTCTTGGTCTTGCCGTGCTCGGTGAGAACGCCTGGGGCAATCTTGTACACTTGCGAAACAAGCTTGAACATTGGGTCGTCTGGAAGGTGCTTCAAGGCAAACTCTCGCTGCGAGACGTAACGTGGGTCAGTCTTGCGAAGCACAGCGTGGCCGTACCCTGGCACGACACGGCCGCTCTTGAGGGTGTCCCAGAGGTACTTGGTGATGTTCTCATCGGAAAGATCGCTACCAACGGTCTTCTTCATCTCGAGGAGCCAGTTGAGCACCTCCTGGTTGGCGAGACCGTGGAGTGGACCAGCAAGACCGTTGAGACCGGCAGCAAGCGAGAGGAAAGGCGAGGAGAGAGCAGACCCAACCAGGTGAGTAGTGTGAGCGGAGACGTTACCACCCTCGTGGTCGGAGTGGATAGTCAAGTACAATCGCATAAGCTCGACGAAGTCGGTGTTGTCAGCGAAGCCCAGCTGGTTGGCCAAGTTCCAACCATAGTCCTTGTTCTTCTCAACAGCTGGGACTTTGCCATCCTTGTAGACGTTGCGGTAGATGCGAGAAGCGATCGTTGGCAACTTAGCAATCAGGTCCATACTGTCCTCAAAAGTATGCTCCCAATACTCGCTCTTCTTAATACCCTTAGCGTAAGCCTTTGCGAATGAGGATTCGTGCTCGAGAGCAGTGACGGCGAGTGAGAACTGAGCCATTGGGTGGAGGTCGGATGGGCAGCGGTCGATGAGCTCGGTAACGAATGATGGAACGTCAGATCTGGCGGCCCACTCAGCAGACAGGTCGCGGACCTGTTGCTCAGATGGGACCTCGCCGGTGAGGAGCAGCCAGAAGAGTCCTTCCGGGAGAGGCTCCTGTCCACCAGGGGCCTTTGGAAGTTGCTCCTGGCATTCTGGAATTGTGCGGCCACGGAAGCGAATGCCCTCCTCAGAGTCGAGCACAGAGCCCTCCCAGACCAGCGACTTGATACCACGCGCACCACCGTAGACTTGGTCGAGGGTCACCTCGCCGATGACCTTGTTGCCATAGTCTTTTCGGAGCTTCTTAATCTGCTCGATCTTCTCTGGCAGGCTGGATGCGAAGGTCTCTTTGAGGGTCTAGAAATTGTCACATCGTTAGCTCGCATTGAATCAGGCCATGGGAGCCATTGGGGTTCATTGCAATGGACATGGTCACTCACAGCGCTCTTGCTTGGAGTCGCGTAGGTCCTAGCAGCGTTGAATGCAGAGCGCTGGGTCCAGCTGGACTGGGTAGCCATTGTGCGGCGGAGCGCAACTCGGGAAGCGCTGTTAAGAGCCATCTTCAAGAAATCAATCCGATGACGAACAAAGAGGTAAGGGAGTTATGGATGCGACCAGTCCGGGCAATTGCTTCGGAGCTGGAGGAGAGGCTGGTGGGTGTTCGGACTTGGGGTTTGGATGGGAAAAAGTTGAGAGCTAGGGGCGGCGCGCACGTTCATCTCGCCGCATCACACGAGAACGACAGGACCGAAAGAGGCCGAAAACAGAACGGGAGGAGACCCGGACTCCGTGTACTCTGCATCCTTCATCCTTTGCAATGTAGCTACCATTATTGTTTTAATGGTATCGCATCCATGCTTGCCAGTGCTCAAACGCTTACAGCTGCTTCACTTGTCTAATCTAATAATTTACACTCGCGGGCGGCGGCAACTTGCTGTTGATCGACTGAGCTCACGGAAGTCGGAAGTCGAAAATCGGAAATCGGAAATCGGAAGTCGGAAGTCGGCGTCGGAAGAACAGTTCGCTAGAGCCGAGTGGCACGTGATCGCTGAATTTTCATTTCCAGCCACCGACGCTGCGGCTGCTTCTACTCCTTTCTTCTCACCTGCACACTGCACACACCCGCGCGTAAGAATAACTACACACCACAGCCGCAGCTGACAACCTCGACCGGGACGACACCACATCACGAGAATCCGATTCCTTATATTACGCTTCGGGCGACACACGCTCGCATTGCGCAGGATCTGTTTGCGCCCGCCGCACGTTCCTAACCAGGCGCGACGCTTGTGGTCGCCCTTCACCTGTCTGCTCTATTCTTGCATCTCGCAAACAATAGGATCGCCTTTTAGAGTCACCTGCCCCTATCACTCCGGCCGGACAATAAGAGACAAGCGCATCGTCCGGATAGAATCAGCGCGCATCGCTACTGCGTAGACTCGAGTCGCTGGGCAGTCCCTACTAGTCTTGACCGGAGCGACACGTACGTGCAATAGCATCTGCACCATAAAGCGACTTTCGACGCGTGCGTACACGTGAACTCGACAAACCCAAGGCACAGACAGTAGCTGGCCCGGACTTTGCTGACTTCAGTAGACTCGGTGAGGCATCTGTAGACTGAATCGAGCGACAAGAAGTAGCGCGTAGCTTTCCACCAACAGGAGAGTAGAGTAGACTCCATCATGGCGACGCCGGGAGTAAATGACCTTGACGGTCTGCTTGCGTCTCTTAACCAACTGAAACCACCGGGCGCCAGCAAGAACAAGATCGCTACTATCACGACTCTGTGCGTGAACAATATCCAGGTGAGCACACATGAGCCTTTGCTTTGTTATTTGCAGACACGCCATATACCGATCCTGTTAATGGATTTGCGCCCAGCCTAGTACTGACGTGAACCTTCATAGGCCGAGTCCACGATTGTACAGTCCTTCTACAGAGCACTCAAGAAAGCGCCAGCAACTCATAAGCTTGGCGCACTTTACGTGATTGATAGCGTAGTCCGCCAATGGATTGAAAAGGCGAAGTCTTTGGGACAAGAACTGCAGTTTGAAGGCCGTGGAGAGTCTGGCACATATCCCGCTGCTGTCAAGCGTGTGACCGAGTTGATGCCAGCCCTCTTTGACGACATCATGAAAGGTCTCCCAGCCGATCAAAAGCCCAAGTTGGAGAACATGATCACCATTTGGGAGCGTGGTAGTACTTTCCCTGTGAAACTGCTGCAAGACTTTAAGGCCAAGCTTGGTTGTGCACCAGCTGTAAATGGCTCGACTGCAACCACGACTGCCCCGGCGCAGGCGCCAGTAAAGACGTCAGGTGAGAAGTTCATGGCACCCATTCCTAGCAGACCGGTACAGACTCCTGTTGGATATCCGCCTCAATACTTGTATGATCAAGGTCTGCTTCCAGGAAAGGCTGCTCCACAGGTAAACGGCAACGCTTCTGCGAACCACTCTGCGCAGATCTCTGTAGATCCTCGCCAGCAACACCAGCAGCAATTCCAGCAGCCCCAGCAGATGCCGCAGCCACCTCAAAGCGCACCTCAGCCAGCAGTAGCTCCCCCACCCGCGGATGTCAACAGCATACTGGCTGCTCTTTCGCGAGCAGCTCCAGCGGCGCCGAGCCCATCATTTCCACCACAAGGTCAACCAGCTGTGACAGCGCCTCCACCTGGTCCACTGCCTGCCAATCTAGCGGCCTTTTTGCAGCAGCAGCATGCTCCACCACCGCAACCACCGCAGTCCGCTGCAGTTCCGCAACAGCAATACACCTATTCAGGGCCACCTTCAGCGCCACCACTGGCTCACCCTGCGTATCAGGCACCACCGCCACCATTTCACGGATATCCACCTCAACCGCCACCCTCGATACCGCAAGCATATTCGGTTGCGCCACCACCGCAGCAAATGCCACCTGCTGGTGATGCTTTGGCACCTCTGCGCGGCATTCTGCCTCCGAACATCCTCAATGACAATCAAAAGCTTGTTCCAGCTTTGCAATTACTGCAAGACCTCCAGAAAGATGGAATCACTCCAGACAAATGGGGTCCTGTGCTGAAGGCATTCGAAGAGCAATTCCAACCTGCACCACCTGCCTTCAACGCCCAAGGCGACTACGGTCGTGGACGTGGTCGAAGCCGCAGTCCGGATAGAGTAGGTCGTGGAGGCAGAGGCAGCCCGGTCTATGGGTCTTACGATGCGGATGCTGCGAAGAGACAGGGCGATGAGCACCGGGATCAGCGAGGTGGCCGGGGTCGATATAGACAACGCTCGCCGATCCGCAACAGCCCTGGACCAGGTTCTTTCGGCGGCAGACCGATGCAGCCCAAGTACATTGCATACGACAATACGCTACCACCAGATCACATCAAGGTTCTGTCCCGCACGCTATTCGTTGGTGGCGCAAACGGCACTCAGCAAGAAATCCAAGAACTATTCGAGCGCTTCGGTCGTGTGCAGACCTGCATCGCAAATCGTGACAAGCGTCACGCCTTCGTGAAGATGACTACTAGACAATACGCGTTGGCCGCGAAGCAGGGTATGGAGGATCTGCAGAATCGCAATGACCGGGAGACCATGAACATTGCACGCCAGACGAAGTGGGGCGTCGGATTTGGTCCTCGCGAGTGCTGCGACTACCAGCGAGGCGAGAGCACTATTCCTATCCACAAGCTGACTGAAGCCGACATGAAATGGCTGCTCACGGCCGAGTATGGTGGCACTGGTGGCAAGCAGGTCGAAGGTGGCATGGTCTTGGAAGAGCCTGACATCGAAATTGGAGCTGGTGTGAGCAGCAAGGCCATGAGCAAGCGTGTTGGGCCAGAGAACAATCCGCAGCCCAAGAAGCAGAAAGAAGATCGTGGCGGACGTCACGGTAGGAACAAGGGTGGAGATCGAGACCAGGGCTACGGAGGATACAGCGGCGTTACTGGAGGTCCTCCTGCCATGGACTACGGCTACGCAAGACCAGAGCCAGTCGCGGTGGCAACGCCTCCAGCAGTGCCTGGCTTCGGCTTTAGCCTGCTCCCGCCAGGAAGCGGCCAGACTTTCCGCTAGGAACGGAAGAATAGTGTGACAACTTCGGAGGGATCGCAAAATTCAGAGAGCTCCAAAGGACGGAGAAAAAGGGGAAGGAAAATGTGATGATTATGAGCATAGCGACTGGATTTGATCGGCATTACGGGCGTTTCATCAAAAGGCTGAGAGGCATACTGCAGTTCTAGCGTGGCTGGTATTCACACGGCACTGTATCAAGTAGCATCGCGCGGCATCAATGAGCATATTTTCGGGGTGGCCCTCTCACCTGAGGCAGTCTTTTGTATCAGCTCCAAACATCAGTGGGATCTCATGGACCTGTTACGCTTCAACAGTAGTACTCGTGGGGATTGTTCCCTTTCAATTTCGTTCCTGAGCGCTTCATGGGGCAAAGCACAGAGGTCGACAAGAGGGAGAAATGTGTGATGGCTTGGGCATAGAGGATGTCTAGGTGTCGATCTTGCTAACACCGGAATGTGTCTTGTGCTGTCCAGCATGGTGAAGGATGGTATGGAGTTGTTTGAAACGACGTATCAGGATGTGGCCTTCAAGCAGGACTACCAGATCGCGCATCCCAAAGTATACACTAAAGGTATCAGAGTGAGAGTAGGCTCCAGAATGAGCAGGTAAATTACATCTGAAGGACAATGATCTTGGTGAGCTATTGGTGATCCCCTGCGGTCGGCTCTCTATGGATGAGCGACCGTGGCATATTGCAACCGAGAGAACTAATCATCCTCAGATCCTACATGCCAAGCCCAAGTATTCCTGAACGTTCCCTGACCTGCTCGCAATTGTGGTGAGCCATTCAGATCTTCTTGCCACCTTAGCCTGCCAAAAATGCAGTCCGTGTCTTTTGATTTGGTGGAGAGTTCCTTGACGTGCTTGCCTGTGCCCAGAGAGTAGATGTGCACGCTGTTGTTGTACTGATCAGCAGCGGCGATCAGCTTGCTGCCTGGGCTCAGGATATCATAGTTGAGTTGTGGTCCCACCGAGGTGTGTGGAATCGAAAGCAGGGCATTTTCCTCAATGCTCCGGGTCATTCTCAAATCGTGGAGATCGAGGCTGATGTTACTGGAAATCAGTAGGTTGTGTCCACTCCCGTCAATGCTCGAAACACCAGTGATTCTTCTGTTCTTTTGAAAGCGACTTGCCTGACCTTGTGATCGGATATCCCAGAGTTTGACACAGTGCCGAGCATTCTTGGTCTCTTCAAGTGCTCCATATGCCAGCGTCGAACCTGAGAGCCAATCAATTGAAAAGACCTCGCATTCCTCCAGCTGCAGCTCGCAGATCTGAGCTCCATGATCGAGACAATTGACAGAGATAGCGCCTGTTCCGGCAAGCGCAACGTTGTGCTTGCTCATTTCAACCTTACTTGTCCAGAGATGACGTATACTGGGTACCGAATGGGTATGCAGGAATGCATTGGACACTGTCGATGTGAACCATCCTTCAAGAGGTCCGACCCGAAAGTGGGCGGAGGCACGTCGGTCGCAATCGCCACTTGCAAACATTATCGGCGTATCACCGTCTATGGCCTCAAAATCCACTGCTCGTTCCTGAATTGTAACAGGCATCGCGTCCCTTCCACTAGAGATACATGTATCCTCGCAAAAGAACATGTATCGGCGTGCATTCCGATCCCCCAGAACCGTTGCTAAACAACGAGATCGTGGCAGATATTGACAATCTAGGAAACTCGGCGACCGCAGGATTATGCGTACTGAGGGCGTGATTTCGGTGCGCTCGAGACTCCAGCCCTCTACGATAGCCTCATCTCGATAGTGATTAGCTTTGTTGCCTATCTCTCGCTGAAGACCGCACGTTGCCAGAATCCGCGAGCGGTCAAGTCTGCAATGGATCCGGCCTCTCATTGACTTTTGCTCTGCGAATTTCCGTCTTTTGGCATCTCGCGTCTGTTTCTTTTCCCGCGTGACGTTCGACTGGGAGTACTTTGCGTCCGGTGGGACTTTATGGGCAGCCTGTATCTTGAAATATTTTCCTTTATCTGCATCCTAGAAATTGATGAGTCGAAGGTCAACAAAAGTCTCGGACATTTGGGTGCCCGCAGGTGATTGCTTTCTTACCCAGTAAAATCCAGGAATATTGCCTCGATTCATCTTTCCACCACCCGGACTTTGATAGGCAGGTCTTTCCCCCTGTTCGCTGTGGGATTAGCAGTCGCTCTGCTATATGCGACGCATTCGTTGCCCGAGTTGGACGCTACGACCGACGAGAGCTTGCCATTGTGCCTACCTGTTCTGCAGCATCTCTGTTGGCCGAGTGGCAATTCTGTAGATATTCTCGGCGGGCTTCGGATCAATGAGACGAGGTCGTTCGAGTTTCAGCCTTCTTCAGATGCGATTACGACGACGATCACTTGGAAGCTGCAATGCTCGTTGCATGAAGCGACGGCTGTTGTGACTGTCGTCCAGAGCTGGCGGAAATTCGTCGACTGGACCCTTGCAAAAGCCACGCGAGGCGGCAAGCTTAAATAAGCTTCCCGCATGATCACGTCACTGCGGAGCCGCGGCAAAACGGAGCTCTGTAGCTACATGAGAAGTGCAAGTCATTCTCATTCCCTTCTTCTGGCAGAGTCCTTCTTATATGCATCGTGCGGCGTTCCGATCGCGAGCAAATATTCTTAAGCCTCGGAGGAGACTTGCCACAATGGCGAACCAGGTCAGCAATGGAGCCGCCAACGGCGAGCAGAAGATGTTCAGCATTAGACATCTCCCGAAGAGCAACAACTTTACTCAGAAATTACCGCCCGATCCAGAGTTTCCCACGCCAGCGGCTTCGCATAAGGCTGAGCGCAAACAGCTCGGGCCCCGGCTCGTGAAGAGTGCCGCATACACATTCGTTCGACCAGATCCCTTCAAGAAGTCAGAACTGGTCGGCGTATCGAAAGCAGCCCTGAAAGACTTGGCGATTGATCCTGCGTCTGTCGAGACAGACGACTTTAAAAAGACTGTAGCTGGCGAGCAGATAGTGACCATCGACCAAGATAAAGAGCCTGACGATGATGATATATACCCATGGGCGCAATGCTATGGCGGATATCAATTCGGCTCGTGGGCGGGCCAGCTAGGTGACGGACGAGCTATTTCCCTTTTTGAGACCACAAACCCGAATACTGGAAAGCGATATGAAATACAGTTGAAGGGCGCAGGGAAAACACCATACTCACGATTTGCAGACGGCAAGGCTGTGGTCCGAAGCAGCATTCGAGAGTTCGTGGTCAGCGAAGCTCTTAATGCTTTAAAAATCCCGACAACTAGAGCTTTGAGCTTGACGCTCGGCCCAGAGGAGCGTGTACGAAGAGAGATGACAGAGCCGGCTGCGATGGTTGCACGATTCGCAGAGAGTTGGATCCGTCTGGGAACATTTGATTTACCGAGATCGAGAGGCGACCGCGATATGGTACGCAAATTGGCTGACTATGTGGCGGAGAATGTCTATACTGGCTGGGAATCGCTACCCGCCAAGGTGCCATCGAACGAAGAGAAGGATGTGCTTGAGCCTTCACGGGGAGTATCGAAAGACGAGATTCAAGGAGAGAACGAATTTGCCGAGAATCGATACACGCGACTCTTCCGTGAAGTCGCTCGTCGTAACGCTAAGACAGTCGCTGCATGGCAGGCATACGGCTTCATGAATGGTGTTTTGAATACTGATAATACATCGATACTTGGACTGTCCATAGACTTTGGCCCATTTGCTTTCATGGATAACTTCGATCCGAATTATACGCCGAATCACGACGATCACATGCTTAGATACGCATACAAGGCGCAGCCCAGCATCATTTGGTGGAATCATGTTCGACTCGCCGAGGCCCTGGGTGAGCTGATTGGCGCCGGACCGTGGTGCGATGACGAGGAATTCACAACCAAGGGAGTGCGTCAAGAGCGTGCCGACGAACTGATCAAGCGTGCCGAGACTCTGATTGATCAGGTTGGCGAAGAGTACAAGGCTGTGTTTATGGCCGAGTATAAGCGCCTGATGACTGCGCGATTGGGTCTTAAGCAGTGCAAGGAAGGTGATTTTGAAGAGCTATACTCGGAGCTTCTTGATACATTAGAAGCATTAGAGCTGGACTTCAACCACGCCTTCCGTCGGATGAGCAACATCAGCATGGTCGATATCGACAGTCACGAAAAGGCCAAGGATGTCGCGGGCCGCTTCTTCCACAACGAAGGTCTTAGTGGACTCGCGGGTAGTGAAGAGGATGCTCGCGAGCGATTGGCGAAATGGCTAGGGAAGTGGCGAACCAGAATTCTCGAAGACTGGCCGAGCTCAGAAGAGGCGAGGAAGGAGCGCATTGCTGCCATGAAGGCTGTCAATCCTAACTTCGTCCCACGATCTTGGGTTCTTGATGAGCTCATCGAGCGCGTTGAGAAGAAGGGCGAGCGCGAGATTCTCGGCCACATCATGGACATGGCTTTAGAGCCATTTAATGATAACTGGGGTTGGAATAAGGAGGAAGAAGATCGTTTCTGCGGCGACATCCCGAAGTACCAGAGAGCGATGCAGTGTTCGTGCAGCTCGTAGAGAATCTCTCTCCTTCGAATAGCTAGCTGCCTTCCAGGCAAGCTTGATCAGATTCGGGAACGCACGAATACTTTTCATATTCCGACCACTGACGAGGGATCAATCACAGCTCCCGATGCCATCCGTGCGCCTTCTCAGCAGACATGCCAGGGATATACGATTTCGTAGTCGGCCTATCCTCACTCAACGGAAGCGATGCCTGTCCGACCTTCGACACCCTCACACTCTCAACCTGAACAAACTTGGTCTGCTCATACTTCTCGAACAGCTCACACACAGCATCAACCAAGTCCCCAAGCGTCACACCTTCAGGCCGAAATTTCGCATACCTCTGTTCAGACTTCTGCTTTTGAGCATCATAATCGACATGCGTCACGAACGGCGCCCTTCCACTCCCCAACTCGTAGAAAGATCGAGTATACCAGAAATGCGTGAAAGGAGGTGAAGCGACGAGGAGATTCCTCCAAGATCCAGATTTGGGAAGATGGTCGAATTGCCGCTTGCTGATTTCGAACGAGAAGGTCCAGAATCGAGGTTCGTTTGGTTGGAGGTGGGAGAGGATGTCTATGTTGTCGAATGGGTAGGCTGAGCCCCAGCTTCTTTGTTCAAGGAGTAAGAATGGAATCCAGACGTTAGGGCGAGCGGGTGGGTAGCTGAATTTTTGCTGCCAGCAAATGTTGTCTGCTTTGTCTGCTGGTGTGGGTAGGTAGAGCATTTGCCGAATTGGAGTCGATTGTTTGACTAGAGCATACCATGTCCTGCATGTTGTCTGGCCTAGAAGGACAGTTCTGACGGAATTGACTTCTTGTGTTGTATTGTTGCAGGGTAAGGCTAAGAGTATGAGCTCCAAGAGCTCTGGTATGTCGAATGCTCTGCTCGCTGCGTTCATATTGTCTCTTGTCGCTGCCATGTGACTGTGACTATCGCTGTTTCCCTGGACTCATTCCATCATGATGAGTGAGCTTCAAAAATGACTTCGATGCTCCGATGTAGTAATAAAGACGCGAAAGCTGCCGTAAGCTTGGATACTTTTTGTCAGATCCCAAGGTAGAAGAGCCCTGTTCTCGATGTGCTGGTTTCCAAGTTATTCCGATTCTCCGCGTTGACCCGAATGTGTTAGCAATATCACCAAACCGTTCTCAGAGCAGGAGTGATGAATTTCTGACACGAGAATCGTGCGCAGCATGTAGCAGATAAGAATAGACTGTTGGATTCACGAACCATTTAGGCCCTGAATACTTCGCTCGTCTTATTGTATAAGACAACCGTCTTATCCATAAGATAGGACCCACTTTATAAGACGCGTTGAATACTAATAAGTCAGCGGTTTATTATAAGACAGCTTAACTTATCCATAAGTCGTCTTTTATACGCTTGTCTTGCGAAAGCTAGCATATAGCTATACTAGTTGGCTTTTATAAGACGATTGTATGCCTTATTGCCTTGTTTCTAGTAGTGGAGCCCCTAATTTAACCATCTCTTGCCCCTGTTCTCGTATTCTTGCTCTTGCTGTATAGTAGTAGTAGTGTAGTAGACACTGTATTCGGCTATAGACGACGACTTAATCGAGGATGTAGCTATTATTGCGGCTATATTCGCAGTGCTACAAGCGCTCTGTATTCTTCTTAATAGTAAAGCGAAGGCGCCGAAGTATCGACTAGGTGGTGTAATAACGACTCTTGTAGCGCTAGAATTAGGTAGATAGTAGACGAAGATAATGCTATATAGACCGGAAGAATACTACTATACGACGACGAGGCTCCGACAGCCTATTCTTCGAGCGTTGATTAATACCTTAGTAGAAGATTATAGACTTACTAGAGGGCGTAGAATCAGTCTAGCGGAATAGGTAGTTATATTCCTTAATATAGCGGCTTACCGCACAACCAACAACCGCTTGCGGACCATCTATTAGCACTCACTATTAAGCTGTAGACGTGCTGTCTTAAAGATAAGCCGCCTGCTGTGTAAGCTATATAGCGATACCGTAATATAGCCGGCTCGAGAGGCAACTACTGCCTCAGAAGTATACGAGAACCCGAAGTTCTAGCTATATTTGTCGGGTTGTATAGGCGCACTTAATAGCTCGCACGTCCCCTTTAAGACGAAGAAGATGAAGAATCTAGGCGCCTATCGTAACCGCAAGGGCACCGTTACTTAGAATGTATTGGCCTGTTGTGACTTCCAGTCTAACTTTACGTATATATTGCCTAGATAGGAGGGCTCTGCGGCGGATGGCACTGTATTAGCCGCAGCGATGAGGAAGGGTATGTATATGCCGAAGGGGAGGTTCTATTTAGCGGACGGTGGATACTCGAAGAACCTAGATTATATATTAGTGCTATACTAGAAGACAAGATACTACCTTCGAGAATGGAAGGCTTCTAATATAAAGCCGGAGACGAAGGAAGAGCTGTTCAACCTGCGCTATTCGCAGCTTCGCAACTATATCGAGCGGATGTTTAGTATTGTTAAGGAGCGATAGCCTCTGCTTGGAATTAGTCTAAACAAGGGCTATACTGCGCTCTAACAGTCGCGCTTTGTATATAGACTCGCCGCTCTTTATAACTTTATGAACCGCTATAGACAGACAGTCGAAACCGAGACGTTCAACTAGCAGCTAGAAGACTATAACTAGGGCTTCGATGCGGATAATATTATCGAGGAAGAGGTCGCCGAGGCGGATCGAGAATGGATAGCGATAAGAAGCAAGATGTCGGTTTATAGGGACAAGATAGCGACGGCGATGTAGCAGGACTATAAGATTAGAATTGCAGCGATGAAGCCGTACGAAGATAATTAGGTAGTAGAGGTTCAGCAGAGGAGTAGACATAGTTCGAAATCGGGGCATAGTTCGGTGCGGTATAGGCTTAGCGCGATTTCCTACCTTATTTCGCTGCTTCTTAATATAATTTGGAACTTTAGGCAGATACTGAACGCGTTATTACTACTATTGCTTCTCTCCGAGTGCTCTACTAATAGCTGGAGTTTCTATAAGTTTAAAAGCGGATACATCCGAGCTTAGCGTCAAAATCCGAGTCTTATTGCTGTATCGCTATTATCCCTATAACAACACCACCATTTTTTTATCTCGTTCTAATTAGTTAGTAGTTGATTGGCAGATGCTTTATATAAAAAAACAACGAAGAAAATCGGTAGTGTAGTTGTTAAGGAAACTCGTAATAAAGTCAAATTTCATGGTTTTTGCTAAGCATAGAGCTTAGCTTCATATGTACGCTTATTTGGAGGAAATGTAGCTTGTTTTTGGGACGACAACATATCCGAAAATGAACGTGATAGTGGCTTCGCAGTATATAATAAGATCTTTACGCAAAAACTAACAATACCTTTACACAAAGTTATAGTATAGACAACCCCGCTGCATTCTAAGAAATGTAGTCGCCCTAGCAACAATCTCTAACTTTTCACTGCTATAAATACCCATCTTGGCTATTAAATGGCGGACCTTGTATCGGCGGCAATTAAGGACCCCTATACCTATAATATAGCTTATACGCTAGATGATTAAACGGAATACTATCTAGAGCATTATCCCTAGCAAATTGCTGCGACTGTTGCTGCTAAGGTAACTCCTAAGGCTTATAAAGAGGGCGTGGTAGTACTTTAGCGGCGGGCTGCGTAGCAGTGTCTTCTACTACCCTATTGTTAGGCTCTTCCTCGTCGTCTACCTTCCCTCTCTTCTTTAATAACTACTTTAGCATCGCCTCGAGATTATTATCCGGACAGCCTATTACGCGACTCGCCGTGCCTTTATTCTCGCAGAGGTCTAGTATTGCTATCTTCTTCGTAAAGGGAAGCCTTGTAATACCCTTACAATTCATCGCGCGCCTTATAGCGGCTATTACAATCGTCTCTTGCGGCGCCTTTAAGACCTACTAGCGGGCGGCGATAGAGGCTACTAAAGACCTTAGTAGCATCGAGAGGTCTTTAATAGCAGCAGTCGTCTCGTCCTTCCGGTAGACTCGATCTGTCTTACTCGAAGCCTCGCTCTTCCGCTTACGACTGCTCGCAGCACTTAGTGTATTTCCACCTTCGTTACTACTCGGAGGCTAATCTTTATTACCTATTAGCACCTCCTTATCCTTATTATTATCCGCCTCCTTCGCCTACGACCTCTAGCGTACCTCTTTAGGCGTCTCTTAAGCTAGTATATTAGCCGGTTGTGCGTTCTTACTAGTAGCGAGGTTATTACTAAATAGGACCTCTAGTTGAGAGTAGAATTTAGGCAGAGCGTTACGCTATATCAAGCAGTCTAGATGCGCCTTATAATAGGCCTCTTCTATAGCCTCGTCGTCTGGTCGAGGTAGATTGCCTAACTAACTACTAATCCTTCTAAGGTGTGCTTTCCAGCGCTTCTAAGGCGCTCGGAAAGTGTCGTATTTGTTGCGTACCTGCTTTATATTTAAGTTAAGCTTAAACCGAGTATTCAACTCCTTCGTTACTTCTAGTATTATAGTATTAGAATACCCTTAGTTATCATTCTGCGCCGCTATATAGTCCATTAACAAACTGAATAGCTATTCTAGCTGTTCTTCAGTCTATAGATGTAGCTGCGCACGCGTACGCTTCTTCGGCTTATCGTCCTTCGCCTTCGCACCCTTCTTCGGCTTATCGACCGCCTTCGCCTTCTTCGAGCCCTTCGGTAGCATAGTATATAGCAATTACAAGAGGTGGATTCTACGGCTTGAAGTCCAAAATAGCAAGGTTGTGGGTTACGAGATAGTTACGAGATAAAAGATTATAACACCTGGCAATAAGACACGTTAAATACTTCAAAATGGATAAGACGCGCTATAATAAGATAGACTTGCGATAATAGTCGACTTATGGATAAGACAACCTCTTATGAAAAGACAAGACGAAGTATTCAGGGCCTTATAGCCTCACACCTCACAATGGTGCATTGAAGTGAAACCTCAACAGGGTTTTGAAAAGGCAATCACGGCTTATCTCGCATGGCATTTCTGATGGCTCTCAAAGTCTGTTTGGGTATATCGCACACGATTTACCTTGGGCCTGTCAGGCACCATCTCGGAAGTAGGTCGTGAAGCCGGTATTGGCACAAAGGCGCAAAACAAGAAGTGTAAGACACAAGCACTTGATTCCAATCCTTCACTCCTGTCTTGACATTCATGAGGACACATAGTGCCAGAGAGATAAGCAAATATCAACTCGGAAAGGGCTTTGCGTCTCCGCTCATGGCAGTCCGAACGTGGAAGTCTTCTGAAGAGACAGACGTTTGATCGGTGTTATCCCGCGGCCCTTTCGTGACAAGAGGTCTGCTGGTTGGCCCATCACTGCATTTGTTCATACAACGTTTGCTGAAGGCATTTCGGCGACCACCAAGGACAATATGAAATGAAGCTGGTGCGCTCTTTCATGATCCAGAGAATCATCAGTCGTGCCATTGAGAGACTAGGCTCGGCGTGAGCTTTGGGGTATCGTCCTTGTGGATCGAACCTCGAGAGATCCAATGTTTTGGAAGGGTTTCGCACTTGAGCTAACCTGTGTGCGCCGGAAGCGACCATGGTGCTGAGATGCTTTCTTTTGAACTTGACCGCGTTTTCCTCGGGATTCGAACCCAGATCCTGACGAGCTTGGCCTGGCGAATACAATGATTCTGGGAATTCAGGAGCATGCAGCCTTGCAGGCTCGAGTTCCTGGTCGAAGACCACATAGAGTTCTCGGAATTGATGCCGCTGCCGCTGGCTGAGTTGCGCCGCGATCTAGGATCTCGATATGCAGTGTTGCTCGCAGAGCGTGGATGTGATGATGACCGCAATGGTGTGCGACTGTCTTGCTGTTCCGCTAGAGGAGAACTCCATAGCATACATGTCTGCCATTACAACGGGTCACGTAGGCAGTCGACGAGCTCTACGCCTTCTTAGCTAGGGATTTCTCCACCAAGGAGGCTCGGGTTGGTTGGTTGGTTGGTTGGTTGGTATGTCATTTGAAGCCTATTTGAAGACCCTTGATCTACGCGGCTTATAGATACGTGGCCTAATGCCCCCGCATTAGCTACAATTTGACCCGCTCCGTGCTAATCCTTCGCCTTACTATCGTTATAATTTTATAGACATTCCCGTTAACATTTGATTAGTGTGCCTTTTAATGTCCCTTAGATTAATATATGCCTCTTAACGAATCTTAATAAATAGGCTAATACCTCCTTATATAGCTAGGGGGTTGCTCGCTCGGTTAGGGGTATAGTATATATATATTAGCTTACTAGCAATAGGATTGAGCTACCTATTTGCCGGCGTACTATAGATAAATGTCTATTCTACTACTACCTAAAGCGATAGGTGCACTACCTACTCTAATTAGTAGTTCAAATACGGAGTCTAAGGGTAGTAGTAGTATTATAGGGCGGCTCGGTTTCGATAAGCCGTACGCCCGGTAGTAATAGGCTTTAAAGAGGTTAGTATCTATATCCGGGCTGTTTCGGTCGGTAGTCTTTCGATAGTAGTTTTATTAGTATACTAGCTAGTCGGCTAATTGCTTAGTAGAGTAAATAAATTACTTATATAGCATTGTTTTACGCTAATAGGGGTTCGTATAGCATTTAACTATCTTTGCGGCGAGTGCGTAGTTGTCCTTAGGTGCTCGCTAGGTTCGTTAGCGTATAGTACGCTCTAGAAGGCGTATATAACGCTATTAGGGGCCGAATTAATGTTTCGGTTCGCCTAAGTAGGTGTCCCGAGTTTAGACTTCAATTCTTGTTACTATAAGTCCGTAAGCCCTTCCGCGACCTATAACGGTAGGTAGTCCCTCTAGCGGCTTCGTATTTGCTTAACTGTTCGGTTATAGTCCCTCGTCCCTTTTTTATAGTATACTTTAGCTAGGATTAGCGGTAGCTTAACGGTCTAAGCGGATGTCTTTCGTAGAGCTGCTTACGTAGCGTTAGCTTAGAGCGGTAGTACGCTCTTTATATATAAATACTGTATACTGCTTAACTGTAACCCGGTAATACTATACGGTTACCCGTATAGTAGCCTCCGCGTATCGCTATTTCATCCGAGCCTAGCGGTCCTATTTCGCTACTTTCTTCGCGGCTTTAGCTTCCTTCTTAGAATTTAATGCTGCTTCTTACTTTTGAATTAGGTCGCTATGCTTGGATTCTACGAGCCCTAGATCGATTGCCCTAAATTGCTATAAGACTTTCGCCTTTAGTAATAATAGGGCTGCCTATTATACTATCGCTAGGTTACTAAGAAGGAGGTTGATGTTAGTAATTCGTTTACCGAGGGCTGCCTATATATTGTCTCTATCTTTAGTTAGTCTTAGGCATTCGAGCAGAATATAGGCGGGTGTTTGTCTTTATAGGTCGTATCCTTCGTCGTTAATATAGAGGCCGTAGAATAGGCTACCTACTACGCTAATGCCGTAGAGGTATTAGTTAAGCGCTATCTTTCCGGTCCTTATCTAGGTAATAATGCTTCCTATCGGGCGGCTAGCCTAGTTATATCTTTAAAGGACGTCTTTAGTAATTGTTAGTTAGATTCGGTAGACTCCGCGGCCTATAGTGCCTTCTATCTAGTGTTGTTGCTACTAGTCTTTTAGAAAGATGTCGATTTAGCCTTTAGCCTATTTGCTATCGTTCGTTAGCGAAGAGTAAATTGCTTTAGCCCGGTCTACCGCTTCGGTAGCGAGCTTGTCTGCTAATTTATTGCCTAGTATGCCCGAGTAGCTAGGTATCTATTAAATAGAGATAGGGCATAGTATATAGGGTCGGAGTTCGTAGAACTGTTTAATAGCATCCTAAGCGGTATTAGCGCTAGTATCGCTAATCCGCTATACTAGTCCTCGGTTGTCTATATAGATATAGGCTAGCTCGATAAGCCCGTAGTAAATAATTAATTAGAGGGCTAGTAGCAGGCCGTATACTTCTACGTAGAAGGATAAAGAGAAAGTTGCCGTTCCTAGTAGGCGGGATTCGTAGACTCGGCCGTTAAGGGATACTACTAAGCAGCCTAGCTTGCAGTTGCCCTTCTTGTCTTCCTTAAGTAACCCGTCTATATAAATATAAATGCCCGGCATGCGAGTTGTTTCGTTATGCATCCTAATAGCCTCCTCGGTGTCCTCTAGTACCTTCGTGTTTAGATATTTACCCTATAGTATATTAACGAAGACCTATTAAATTTGGAGTAGCAGTTAGCTACCTGCTACGAGGTAGGTCTGTTTATAGAATGCTAGTAGTATAATCTACTTACGGCGGGTGTCGGCGTTCGCTCTATTAATTAAGTTTGTACTATGTAGGCGGCTAGCTATTCGAATAAATGTCCTAAGGCAGACTAATTGAAGGTATACCTTAGCTAGTTCGATATATAGCTCGGTATAAAGCGCTGCCTGTAATGTAGTTTTAAAGGCTCCTGCTATTTAGTAGGCGGCTATATACTAAATAGCGTTAATAAGTTTGGTCGCCTTCTTTGTATCCGCCGTACCTAGCCGGTACTAGACTAATGCGCTATATGCTAGTAGTAGTCGGATAATCGCTAGGTAGGCTCTATAGACTAAGGTTAGTAAGGCCCCCTACGATAACTTATTAAGTATAGCGAGCACATTAGTTGTTAGGACTAAAGAGGTTACACGTAATTGGCATGTAACCGGGCTCGAGTGAAGCTAGGGTCTCGATGCCTTAGGTAGGGCTTAGCGCTTAGCAGTAGGCCAACTTGCCTGCCTTCCTCCCTCTCCTTCTAGCTCCTTATCGAATACTACTCGTATCTACCACTACCCTATCTACCTGCTAATATACCCTTCTTATATAGTATTCGATCTACCCTTTAAGGGCAGCAGCTAGATAGTCCTTATTTCAAGCTTTTAGCGGTATAGCTACGAACAAGACTAATCTAACTATATTGCGCCCGAAGAACGGGACCTATACGTACTATTCTATCGAAACAACCGTACCAATCATTAAGCAAGGCCTTCTATACGGCCTATTACACTAAGTTAAGCATACTAGGCCGATATCTACTAATTCCGCTATATCCGTATCTTAGGGGCTAACAATATATTATTAGTGTCGCCCCTTATAATAGCCGGTTTATTACGAAATAACAACCGTGCCGCCGCTAGCAGCGCTAGCAATAACAACGCTAGTAGTACAGTTCCCGCTAAAGTGCCTACTAAAGCACCTACTAAAGTACCTCCTGCCGAAGAGCCTACCGTAGGACCTGCTAAAGAAGAACCTGTAATCCTAGGTAATAATCTAGAATTACCTGTTAACGATATTCTTAACAACATTGTTAATCGTCGATATAGCTAACTAGCCTTTAGCCCCTAGCTAGTAGCGAGACTTTAGGAAGCCACTTAAAACAGGCTTACTACCCTACGTCAAGAACAATAGCTAAAGGATAATCTTCTCGAGATTCGCCGCCTATAGGAAGCCCTAACAACTAATGCTAAGCTAACGATAACAAGTCCTCCTCTACCCGTCCCTACTTAAAAGAAGGATGCTAAACTTAAGGACTGTACCGTATTTAACGGCTCTAGTCGAAAGCAATACAACGATTATATACGTAATTGTAAGCTCAACTAGCGAAACGCACTAAGGGCCCTTCTAGATAACTACTTACTAGTCGTCTATGCTATACAATACATTAATAGAGACCTAAAACGTACCTAGGATAACTATTTCGACTCCCTTACTAATTAGACCGCTGTTTAGTAGCAGACCTATAAGACTATTATACTAGACACCCTTAGAAACCCTATACTAAGGCAACAACATACTTAGGACTAGTACCTTCGAGCTAAACAAAAGACTGATTAATCGGCTCGTTTATTTAAGGCCTATTTAAAGACCCTCGAGGACGATCTCCCGGCTAAGACTAATTCTATATAGATCTCTAAGATACGCCTAAAACTCAGGTAGGAGCTTATCCTTAAATTAGACCGCCGTCGTGTGTTCGAACAGGCTAATCTAACGCGTATTTAATTCATAGTCGAAGTAGAAACAGCCGAACGGGCTGTTTAGCTCTAATAACAACTAGAATCGAGGATCCGACTAGCTAGCACTAACCGCGGCAATCGTAGTAGCCGCAGAGGAAACCAAGGTTCCTACTATAACAACAATGCTAACAATAGGAACAGTAACGACCGTAGAAGAGGCCGTAGCCGACGGCTATATAGAGGAGGCCGCGATAGGGGCCGTAGAAGGGGCTCGTATCCCTACAATGCTAACCGCTCTGCTAACAATAATAACAGCTACGGCAGTCTACTAACCGGATTGAAGTGCTTCAACTGTAACAGCACTAGCTATCTACTAGGCCAATGCGACAAACCTAAGGATTAGGCCCGAATCGACCGTACTGCCGCTAAGCACTATAAGCACCTTTTAGCCGCTAATACTACCCCTGTCGGTCCTTCGAAAAAAGAGTAAGCGCCGCACTAACTGTTAGCCTTGTGCGGCGTAAGACTATCGATATTATGCTAGCTATTATACGCACCTATCTCGTATCGGACTCGTATAGCAACAATTATAGAACTAAGGTTACGCTAGACCTAGGAAATTCAGTTAGTGCCCTTATTAGCTATCGCCTAGCTAAGCAATTAGACCTTCGACAACTGCCTAGGACTGACCTGCTAACCCTTGCTTGGTTTAATAACGCTCGGCACTTGACCTACGGAGCCTACTATGTCTATATAGCTCTAAAGGACGACCTCGGAAATGAACGCCTACTAAACTTTACTGCCTACGCGGTAGATATAGACAGCCTCCTATCCGACATTGTTATTAGCAACCCTATTCTTAAGTACTATGCTATAGTTATAGACTTAGGCAGTTAACAATAGCGATTTAGAATCGCTAGGAAAGAGGACATTAAACACATCGATATTAGCGAGTGTCCTAATAATATTAGGGTCCTGTTTATTAGCAACCTAACTCCCGCCTTAGCTAATCTAACTGCCGACCTGCTCGGTAGTAATAACGATAAACTAGTGCCC